GTGTCTCTGCAGGAAGCAGGAAACAGAAAACAGGAAGGGCAGGAGAGACCTAGCTAGCCCAGCTATGCTGACTCAGGAATTCTGGGAGTTGAAGTCCATGAGTCATAAAAGAGTAGAGGTTGCCTACCCCTGAGCTTGTTGGAGAACAGCTTGAAGCCAGCTTGCCAGGTGAGCAGAAGATTGGAGAGAGGGAGAGGGGGGAGAAAGAGAGAGAGGGAAGGAGAGAAAGAGAGAAGGGGGAGAGAAACAGAGAGAGAGAAAAGAGAGAGAGGGAGGGAGAGAGGAAAGAGAGAGAGAGAGAGAAAGTAAAAATGGGGGAAGAGGATTGGCAGACCAAGGGCAGAAAGAGAGAGAGGGAGGGAGGGAGGGAGAGGGAGAGACAGACCTTTTTGACATCTAAAATTAAGATAATACTGCATATATCCTTTTTACCTTTATGATACACACACACACACACACACACACACACACACACACACACACACACACACCTATAAGGTAAAAAAGGATATATATGCAGTGTTATCTTCATTTTAGATATCAAAAGGGTTTTGAGGCTCCCAGTGTTTTGTTTTTGGTGGGAAACGGGTCCAAGTGGCTCTTTAAGTGTTTTTGGTTGCCTACCCATGGCCTAGATAGTACAATTACCTGGGTTTTAAACCCAGCATCTTGAAAAAAAAAATCCTTTCCTCTGTTTATTTCAGATGAAGTGTCAAGCTTCAAAGAAACTTTATTCTGCTTCAACCATTGTTGTTTCTTAGCATGCCTATAGACCCAGGGGGGAGGGTGGGTGATTGAAATGCTCATTGCAGGTGTAACAGTCCAGTGTGAGAACCAAGGTCATGAGAGAGCCAGTGGCTGGGAACTGGAGATTTTTCTCATAACTATTGTCTGACATCTAATTGGGGAATGTGTGCACTGTGGGGGGGGGGGGAGACAGATTATATACTTTTAATTTACTGTTCAGGGACCAATTTAGCCAGAGCTGGTTTTCTATTCATCAGTGCTGATAGCGTGTGCTCAATAAAGTTTTGCATTAGAAATTGGACTGTCTCAGCTGGGCTAACTTCATTGGGATCATCAGTCGGAACCTTGACATGAAAGGCAAAATTGTTGGCTGTCAAAAGCTGCTAACCAGTGAGGAAATGAAATGGAAGATTCCTGGAATGTCTTGAGAAAAAAAAATCAAGTTCAAAGTCTTCATGTTCCAATTACAGCTGCTATGAGACATCCCAGTCCTGTACTTTCCACCAGCTGCAGGTCAAAAATGGCTAGCAGGGTTTTTCCTAATAGTGCTAAATATTACTTGTGCTAAATCATCATGAATTACTTTTAAGCAACAAACGAGGAGGATTTTGTCATTTCCTTCTTCCTCATGTCTCGCTTGTTTAGCAGTTGGGGACTAAAATTGTGAGAGTCTATCCCTTGTCAGTTCTGCCATCTTCGGCTCCAAGCCTCTTAGGCATCGTGTCATCAATAGCTGGGGGCTGAGTGGGCAGGGGGAAGGAATTGAGGGACCAAATAGGCAATAAATGTGGATTAGTTTAGCGCTGGGAAATAGGAAGGGGAGAATGACAGTTGAGGAAGACCAGGGATGCTTTGAACCAGTTCATGCCAGTCTTTAAGGACACAAGAAGTTGTAGATGCTTGGGAAAGGAATGTCAATTGCTCCAAACACGGCACCATTCTCAAAACACCTAGACATCCGCTCATTGGCTGGAGATGAACCAGTAAAGTGTCAATGCTGCTAACATCAGACGTTTTTGCTTTGACAACATATGGAGATCCAACCATTTTCCTTCTTATGTTTTACTCTTAGAATTAGAGTTAGAATTAGATGATACTGGAGGGGGGAGGAATGTGCATGCGAGTTTAGTTAGACATACCAATATTGTAACTAATGTGAGAACCAAGGTTTTTGAAATAAGAGATGATAAGAATTGGCGGGTTGGAGAACTGGAGGGAGAGCCTGCATTTCAAACTAATTAGAGAATGTGATTTATGACTGTAAATTAGAGGAGGGAATTGTGCTTTGATACTATGTGCTCAGGAGAGGGGAATTCAGATTTTGGCTTTGGCTATGTAAGTGACGCTGCTATGCTTCTCGAATAAAGATTCCTTAAGGTAAACAATGCCTCGAAGTTCTTTGAAACGTTTCATCTGTCGGAACCATGACATTAAACCAAAATCTGGGCAACAGGTTCCTGTGGGATCCAGGGCAGAATTGTACGGAAATAGTTTGCATGCTTTTGCATGGAAAATTTAGTTCTAGCCTGACTTTACTGCTCCCAACATCTTTTAGTAAAAAAAGCCTATCACTTCATGTATAGTTTAATGAAGAGAAGGATGAGGGTGACATGATAGCAGTGTTCCAATATCTCAGGGGCTGCCACAAGAAAGAGGGAGTCAAGCTATTCTCAAAAGCATCTGAAGACAGGACAAGAAATAACGGATGAAAACTAATCAAAGAGAGAAGCAACCCAGAACTAAGGAGAAATTTCCTGGCAGTTAGAACAATTAATCAGTGGGACAACCTGCCTCCAGAAATTGTGAATGCTCCAAGACATGGAAGTTTTAAAGAAGAGATTGGACAGCAAGGGGTTGGACTAGAAGACTTCCAAGGTCCCTTCCAACTATTCTATTCTATTCTATTCTATTCTATTCTATTCTATTCTATTCTATTCTATTCTATTCTATTCTATTCCATTCTATTCCATTCTCTATTCCATTCCATCCTATTCTACTCTATTCTTCCATTCCATTCAAATCGAGTCGAGGGTCTTTCTTTCCTAAGGGATCAGACTGGGGCAGGTCTGACAATCCCGTCTGATTTTTTTATACTCCAAATCCCGATTCCAATCCAGCCAGATCTAAAGTCAACAAGGAGAGAAGCAACCTAGAACCAAGGAGAAATGTCCTGACTGTTAGATCAATCAGTGGAATAACTGATTGTTGTAAATGCTCCAACACTGGAAGTTTTAAAGAAGAGTTAAATTTAAATTTACCGACAAAGAATAAAAGGGAACTAATTAACCTTCCATCCCATATTTGGGTAGACCAGGCTGTTCTGACAGACCGGTCTCACCAGAAAACACTTTTAAAGACGAGATTGGACAACCATTTGTCTTTAATGGTATACGGTCTCTTGCCTGAGGTTGGACTAGAACAGTGGTTCTCAACCTGTGGGTTGGGACCCCATTTGAGGTCGAACGACCATTTCACGGGGAGACTTCTCGTCGGCTAGCTTTCCCTCTGCCGGCAGACCCTTATGCGGGTCCAAAGTCCCCTGGAGGTGCGACTTCTGTCGAGGAGGCTCTGCTCGGCTGCTGAGGAGCGGTGGCTCCCTCAGCTGTCTGAGCCATCTCTGAGGGCCAAAGGAAAAGAAGATCAGCCAGTAAAATGGCCGATCACCCTGCTGCTTCAAACCGCAAGTCAAAGAACATCTAAGCTGTAAGAACCCCCGTGGTGAATCCGGGTGAGACTTTTCTTTGTTTTGCTCTCTATTCTATTTTGTCTTTGCTACCTGAAAGAGCCTTTTTGGAATTACTTCCCTGGCTTGAAAAGGCAGCTTCTACATTTTTTTGGGGAAGAAAGGCGTTCTATAAAAACAGAACAAAATTTTAAAGACTATATTTACTTTTATATTTTTTGGGGTACAGAAATTTTTTTTTCTGTTCTTTTCCTTTTTCTAAGAACTGTACTAGCATCCTATGCTGGAAGATTATTTCTTTTTCACATTATACTTTAAAAGATAGAAAAAAGGAAATGGGTTTGGAAAATACCTTTTTTAACTTACTGAGGACATCTAGTGGCAAAAATTTAATATTGCAGCCTCTGGTTACTTGGTTTGAAGATAGCTGACCTTCAAAATACTTTTGAAGAGGAAAGATAAGCTGGGGAACTGTGGGGGTGGATATTGCCTAAATTATATTAAATATAGCCTCCACAAAAAAGAAAAAAGAGACTCTTTTTAATTACTATCAAAATGGAGAAACCTCAGTCACATTTAAACTGTACACTTATATTGGAAAAGATCTATGAGGCTACTGCAGAAATATGTGCTACAATGAAAAAGTTTACTACAGAACTAAGATCTAGGGATTTCACTTCAAATGTTCAAATGGACGTCCAGGCTATATCTGACTATGGTATAAATCAAAATATATTAGAAGAGGAATCAACAGAGATAAAAGAGGAAATTTTTCTATCTTACAAACCTCCCGTCAAGGAAGAGAGATACAGACGTCTAATGCAGAGGATGGGATTGCTATTATTTCAAAGGCTACTGCAAGCAACAAAGACAGATCTACTGGCTGAAAGGGAAGCATCCCTATGGACACGTGTTGGCACAGGAAAAAAGCCAGAATTAGACTGAAAAGAGAAATTTAAAATTGTGTAATGGATTTAAAGGCAATGTTTGATTTATGGTTTGTTTTAAGGATTATGATTTAGAGTTAGAAGCAAGAAAAAATATAAATAAATAAATGTGTGTGTGTGTGTGTGTGTGTGTGTGTTTTCTGAGGTTTTCGCGGGTATTTGTATGTAGGTCTTTGGTTATTCGGGTTTTCTCCCGCATCAAATTGGAAGTGTCTTGGCGACGTTTCGATGAAGTCTCATTCGTCATCTTCAGGCTGGTGCTTTCGGCTTCGTGCTTCCAGGAGCAATGTGTGATCGTGGCTGTTTCTTCCTTAATATCTCTTCCCATTCTGATTCAGTCAACCGGGGGAGATGTTTTGTTGGAATGTTAAACTCCTTCTAATTACTCTCACCTAATGAGAAGGAAGGACTCACTGGAGAAGAACCTAATGGTAGGAAAGATTGAGGGCAATAGAAGAAAGGGACGACAGAGAATGAGGTGGCTGGATGGAGTCACTGAAGCAGCAGGTATGAACTTAAGTGGACTCCAGAAGATGGCAGAGGACAGGAAAGCCTAGAGGAATACTGTCCATGGGGTCGCGATGAGTCGGACACGACTTTCGCAACTAACAACAACAAATTACTCTGTTTTAAGAAATTGATTATTAAACCCTTTGCAAGTAATATTTTAGTCCTACTAATTTCAACATAACCAGTGCAGTGATAACAAAGGTTGGGCATATTGTTCACTATAATCAATATCACTGAAAAAAATGGAAAAATAAACATCCACACTGAATCAATAATAATACATTACTTTAGTTCAGGGGTAGGCAACCTTGGATCTTTTATGACTCATGGACTTCAACTCCCAGAATTCTCATGCTGGCTCTGGGAGTTGAAGTCCATAAGTCATAAAAGAGCCAAGGTTGCCTACCCCTACTTTAGTTGAACGGATAACATTTATCATTTGACAACATACATTCTGTGCACTCAGTAGGATACACCCTACATTTTTAAAGGAGACAACGATGGCTTTCTTTTTGTTTTTCAGGGAACAACATGTGTTGCTTTCCTTAGCGTAAGGTAGCCCAAAACAACATCTGAAGGAAGCATTCTGATATAGGCAAACTCTTCTGTTGTACTAAATCTCAGTTTGCTCTGAGGATCGGTGTAGGCTGCCTGTAAGGGAAGCACAAACTGAAATGGATCAGACATGGCACATTTTTTAAAAACAGCAAAAATCAATACTGTATGGCAAACATGAAGTGGCCATTTAGTTTTCCTTCTTTGGTTCTATCCATCCGTGTTTTCCTAATAATAAAAGTTCAAATTTTAAAATCTGTCCTGAAATGGTTTTTCTATTTAACTAAGTTCCACCTGGTAATAATGGTTATTAATACAGTGCTAGGCTGCATTAACAGAGGGATAGAATCAAGATCACATGAAGTATTAATATCACTCTACAATGCCTTGGTAAGGCCACACTTGGAATACTGCATCCAGTTTTGGTCACCACGATGTGAAAAAGATGTTGAGATTCTGGAAAGAGTACAGAGAAGAGCAACAAAGATGATTAGGGGACTGGAGCTAAAACATATAAGGAACGGTTGCTAGAATTGGGTATGTCTAGTTTAACGAAGAGAAGGACGAGGGGGGACATGACAGCAGTATTCCAATATCTCAAGGGCTTCCATAAAGAAGAGGGAGTCAAGCTATTCTCCAAAGCGCCTGAAGACAGGACAAGAAGCAATGGGTGGAAACTAATCAAGGAGAGAAGCAACCTAGAACTAAGGAGAAACTTCCTGACAGTGAGAACAATTAATCAGTGGAACAGCCTGCCTCCAGAAGCAGTAAATGCTCCAACACTGGAAGTTTTTAAGAAGAGACTGGACAGCCATTTGTCCGAAATGCTGTAGGGTTTCCTGCCTGAGCAGGGGGTTGGACTAGATGACCTCCAAGGTCCCTTCCAACTTTATCATTATTATTATTATTATTATTATTATTATTATTATCATCATCATCATCATCATCATCATCATCATCATCATCATCATCATCATTATTATTACCTGAAAAGAGAGCATAGCAATAGGACAGTGATGGCGAACCTTTTAGAGACCGAGTGCCCAAACTGCAACCCAAAACTCACTTATGCATCATTGGGTGCCAGGTGGGTGTGGCCTATTGAGTGGGTGTGGCCCATTGGATAGGCATGACTACGGTGGTAACAGCAGACTGGGCAGGACTAAAATCAATCAATTCCAACTTTGCAAGATCTTTTTTGACTGACTGATTGAACCTTTTTTTTTTGTACATGGCGGCGGAGGCCTAAAGCAAAAAGGTTTTATAAAACCCAGTTCAAGGCCTAGGACTGGGCCGACGGCCCACGTGCCCACAGAGAGGGCTCTGAGTGCCACCTGTGGCACCCGTGCCATAGGTTCGCCACCACTGCAATAGGATAATAGTATAACTATGAGACTTGCCATAGAATCAGTAATATCTGAAGGAATCATGGAGGTCATTTAGTTCAGGGGTCGGCAACCTTTCTGGGGTGGCGGCCCAGTGGAAAAGGGAGGGACAGGCAACTTGAGTGCACACGCGCACGAAGGGGGCTGTGTGCGCATGCTTGCGAAGGCTGTGTGCGCATGCTTGCGAAGGGGGCCATAAGCATGCGCACGAGAGGGGCCATGAGCATGCACGCGAAGGGGGCCGTGAGTATGCACGCTCCGCAAATAGGGCTGCTAACGCAGGCGTGCGGCTCAACTAGCACCGGTGAGGCTCGCAGCTCAGCTAGTGCCAATGCAAGGGCAGGGGGTGAGCCACTGGCCAGCCACTCACGTGTCCCGGTGGCTAAGAGGCCACGGCCCGGTAGTGGGCTGTGGCTCGTAGGTTGGGGACCTCTGCGCTAAATCAGTTGAAAATGAAGCCTGCCATAGAAAATCCTGCCAAATGTTTGGTCTGTAAACATTACGCAGTGCGCGATGAATCACAGCTGCCGGAAAGTTTTTTCGCATACAGGAATCGTATCGCTGCACGCACTTCACATTGGTGGGATTTTCTATGGCAGGCTTCATTTTCAATTGATCTAGTGAACGAGTCAGCCACAACACAGCTTTCTCCTTCCACTCCTCACTGCCTACTGCATCGGCCCGGTGCCATAGGACAGGCGTCACTCTCCCCCCGCCTATTTCTCACACATGCTCAAACAAGAGGTTTATTTCCAAACTGCCCTTGTATGCAGCCTGTGATGCCACAGGAATTTCTGATGCTGCATCCTTCATCTTTATTGAGCTAACAGCACATCATCTATAACAGTAAAAATTATACAATCTCCAATTTTTAAAGCACTGATCAGCTCTGCTGGGTCTCACAAATGTTCTGCATAAATTAATAATACGCCCTTTCAGTCTCTCAACTATGCTATACAGTAGTGACCAAAATTGTGGAAACCTTTTGGGAAAAGTGTACAGTAGAAATGCCACCTTTGGTTAAGTTTCCACCAATTTTTCTTCTAATTTCTTTATAACTGTAGCCTTGTTCACTTAATAATTCTATTTTATATCGCTTTCTGGGTGACCAGTCAACTCTCTGCACTGTTACTTCACTTTTATTACATTTTACAAGCTCACTAAAAGAAAGAACACAAAAAAAAACCCCTCAACCAACTTGATAGCGATCACATAAAACACTGACAAATGTCCTCCTCTCAGCTTCAATGCATGACATCAATAACTGAATCCTACTGTAAACCGATTGGCTCATTGCCAAAAGAAGATGACACCCGATTGGCTCTCTAAACACTCCTGCTCATTGGCTACAACCAGATGAAGGCAAGCTACCTGAGATCAGCCTAAGCAAGTTGTGCTTCCTTTTTCTGGTTATTTGGCTATAACCTTTCATAGAATACAACACAGATAATTGAACAAACTTTGTTGCATTACATTCTTGATTAAATTATATTTCCATTAATATATAATTTTATGCTAGAAGAGATCAACCCCGACTGCTCTTTAGAAGGCCAGATCCTGAAGTTGAAACTCAAGTACTTTGGCCACCTAATGAGAAGGAAGGACTCACTGGAGAAGGGCCTAATGCAGGGAAAGATTGAGGGCAATAGAAGAAGGGGACAACAAAGAATGAGATGGCTGGATGGAGTCACTGAAGAAGTAGGTGTGAACTTAAATGGACTCCAGAAGATGGTAGAGGACAGGAAGACCTGGAGGAACGTTGTCCATGGGGTCGCGATGGGTCGGACACGACTTCGCAATTAATAACATAAAAATAATTTTGTAGTAATACTCCAAAAAAGTGGTGTTATTAGCCATCAAACCTCAAAAATACACTTTTCCCAAAAGATTTCCACAATTTTGGCCACTACTGTGCAATATGAAAGCAATAGACTGAGGTGATGGACAGGGCAGCTGTCTTTCAGAGGGGAGGTCTACTTTTTAAATCTATCATTAAGGAGTTTCCAACAAGTATTGAGAAGTTTCCCAGATAAAAGTGTAAGAAAAACTGTTGAACAATGCTAAACTGCTAAACAGCAGTGGAGGTATTAGAAATTAAATTCTAAAAATACTCACCGGAAGTCCTGAAATATCAGAATATTTTTTGACTGGTTTAAATGAAGGAAGAGCATCAATACTGAAGTCTGGGGAAAAAAGACATTAAAAAGAAATTAACAAACCTGGCTGGCCTCCAATTCTCAGTCCATATACACTGAAATTTTTAATCTAGTGCCATCACTTTTTCCAATCAGCACAAATATACAGATAGTATCCTGGCCAAGCGAGGACGCGTAATTAGATGCTAATGCTAAGTACCTCCTATTGAAATTTGAAAGTATTCATTTAAATTAAACTGTAAAGTACCAGTTAACTCAAATTACAATATGTTCAAATCATGGAATCTGATTCTTCTTAATAAGTCATTTCCATCCAGAGTATGCCTCTTCTGAAGATTACTCAGAATTACAAAAACTTCAACTAAAATACATACCTTATAAAATATAAGGCATCAATAGGCTGATTAATAAAGAGGATTTTAAAAAAAAACTAATACTACACACGCAAAAATGGTTCTTCCAAGAAATTAAAACCGTCCAAATGAGGAACACAAACACAAAAATGAACTTTGGCAAAAGGAACGCAAAGCACTTAGAAAAAGATAAAAAAGTAGTGTATTTCATGGACTGATGGGGGCCACTGCTTCAAAATCAAGTCTTCCATTCAAAAATATCACTGTAGCCAGATGAATATTGGCATTTTCTACTCCCTCTCTAAAATTGCATTATGATAATTGCTACTTTAATTGGTAATTATTATAATCTGAAGCAGATGATTCGGTAGTTTTCATAATCAGGCAGGGCCAATTTATTTCACTAAGAAATATCTATCACAATCTTTTCACAGAAAAGCAACAATTTCAGCAGTTTTGAGAAAGATGTGACGATTGTTTTTTTTGAAATGAGAAGAAAAGCAATTAAAGACCTTATCGGAACTCTTCTCCGGCAAAACGGATGGCAACAATTAAGTATAATCACAGGAATTTATTATGATAATACCCTTCAGGATAAAACGGGAATCTTATTTTTAGATAGGTCAGATTGTGTTGTTATTACAATTGTTAACAGCAGAGTTCCTTTGGTCCTAAACAAACAAAAACCAAACCCGCTAGTCCCTGCGGCCCCATTTGCACTTGCATGTGGGCTCAAATGGGGCCGCTAGTGCCAGGCAGGTGTGCGAGGCCCGTCTGCGCATCCGCGAATGGGGCCACTAGCACCAGATGGGTTGCGCGACCCATTTGTGCATGTGCGAATGGGGCTGCTAGCCGCCACGGGGGAGGCGCGCGGCTGTTTGTGCATGCACACGGCCCCAGCACGTGCCACACATGTGAGCAGGGCCACTAGTGCCGTACAAGTGCATGTGGTCCTGATTGCATATGTCCCTTCCAACATTATTATTCTATTATTATTGTTGTATTATTATTATTATTATTATTATTATTATTATTATTATTATTATTATGGATCATCGCATAGTCGGCCAGATGTTCAGACTGGATTTGGCATTTTTGTCTACGTATCGAGTCCTCCTCAAGGACCTGGGATAGGCAGATGTGGATGTTTGATGGTATTACAGATATCGTCGCAGGATGGAAGCAGTTCCTAGTAAGGTTGCCTTTTGCAATTGACCAATGGCGAATTTGTCAATGCCAATGGTGTTCAAGTGGTGCTCCAGTTGTTTTGGTATTATTATTATTATTATTATTGTTATACTGTAACCACAAAGGTCTCTGCACTTTTCTTCAGATGCATTTGATACCTTCTTTTTTACATTTAAAGCATTTCTAAGTTATTAGATATACTCCTTTAAAAAACAGTTATCTGTGGTACTGATAATTTTTATCTTTTGAAATGATGGCTGTAAGTGTTCTTCCATATTTCAATGTATTGTAATTGTCTTTTTTTTAGGATATGGACATTTATTTGCGAAGGCATAGCACGTACTCCATGTCGCTCTAATTATGTTTCTGTTCGTGCTGAGTAAATATGCCCCTGAATTTCCTTTGCTGAAATCTACTTGGTCAGAAATATATCTCACAACGTGAAAAGAGTTTTGAAGAATTTTATAAATACGTAGGGGGAAAAAAATCTAAAGAGCTTACAGCTTGGATCGTTTAATTGCCACGGCAGTGTTCTTTCTGAAGAAAGGATTTGCTTCAGATTCTTCCATGTTCTATTCTTCTTGCCAGCTGCTGCGCCTCCAGTTCCAGAATGCTGGAATGTTTAAAGAGCATATTTAACAAGGATACAGACACTCTTTAAATAGCTCTTGTTGCAGCACTTATTAAAACAGGTTAATCTAGGAGAGAAGCAACCTGGAATGAAGGAAAAACTTCCTAACAGTCAGGACAATTAACCAGTGGAACAGAAGTTGCCTTCTACATGGGGGGGAGGGGCAAACCCTTCATGTGTAGTATCAAAAGGGAACCGTTTTAGATAGGTCAGATTGTGTTAGGCCACATGGTGCTTCACGCCATTGCTGTTTCTTGCGGTAGGAAGCTGCGTGGCACTTCGGGCCGTTTCTGCTGCTCACGGAAAGAGGCTGCATGGTGGAAACAGCCCAAAGCACCGCACAGCTTCCTACCGCAAGAAACAGCAATGGCATGAAGCACCATGTGGCCTCCTGCCATGAGCTGCAGGAACAGCACCGCACAGCTCACTGCCACAAGCTGTTTCTCTCTGTCCCAGATCAAGAGAGGATTATTTTAAGCTTCTTTCTCTTTGTGTTTCCCCTATTTCTCCGTATTTTTATCAGCTACTTCATTCCTTTTTAATAGCTCTGCTGCATCTTCCCCAAAGGTCATTTTTGCACGATTCCTTTATAATGGTAGTTCATCTACAATTGTCAACAGCCAAGAAAAAAAATGGATTAAAGTCTATGGAGCTTTTGGTTTTTGATCCAGCTTCAATTTAAAGTTCTTCATATTCTAAATTACTTGGATCCAAGAACCCCATGCTCCCACACTAGTGCAGGTATTTGTTTCCAACATAACTCTACTGGGATCTACATTTAAATTCTTGTCCTCTTATATTCTTTTTTTAAATATAGTGTTGTTTTTAAATGTAGTATTGTTAATATTATTTTAATAACATTACTGATTTAAAGCTAGGCTGCATTAACAGAGGGACAGAATCAAGATCACGTGAAGTATTAATACCACTTTACAATGCCTTGTAAGGCCACACTTGGAATACTGCATCCAGTTTTGGTCACCACGATGTAAAAAAGATGTTGAGACTCTAGAAAGAGTACAGAGAAGAGCAACAAAGATGATCAGGGGACTGGAGGCTAAAGCATATAAGGAACGGTTGCTGGAATTGGGGATGTCTAGTTTAATGAAGAGAAGGAGAAGGAGGAGGGGGGACATGAGAACAGCATTCCAATATCTCAGGGGCTGCCACAAAGAAGAGGGAATCAAGCTATTTTCCAAAGCGCCTGAAGACAGGACAAGAAGCAACGGGTGGAAACTAATCAAGGAGAGAAGCAACCTAGAACTAAGGAGAAACTTCCTGACAGAACAATTAACCAGTGGAACAACCTGCCTCTAGAAGCGGTGAATGCTCCAACAATGGAAGTTTTTAAGAAGAGACTGGACAGCCATTTGTCTGAAATGGTATAGGGTTTCCTGCCTGAGCAGGGAGTTGGACTAGATGACCTCCAAGTTTCCTTCCAACTTTATTATTAGTATTATTATTAAATGGAGTTAATGGCCGTACTGTGCATATCAAGTATAAATCAGACAAGAAAGATAAATATTTAAATAAAGAGTAGGAAGAGGAAAGAAAGGTTAGAAAGAAAGCAATAGAAAGCATAGGGAAGGAAGAACAAAAGAGAAATACGGAATTACACAATGTGTCCCACATTCCAAAGTTAAACTGCTATAGATAAAGAAAAGGTTATTTGTCTCAAGAAAATGTAACACATCTGTGGAAAAAAATACATACAATAAAGCTTGGAGCTTTAAAAGGAAAATGCTTGATAGAAGTTTCTATTGGCCCTGTGCTTGTATTGATCGTCATGGCTTTGTTTTCATTCACTATTTCTGCATTGGTACTCTGGAAAAAAAATACATATATCAATCTGAGAGAGGAGGAAATGCAGTTTTATAAAACCCAACCCTTAATCCAAACTTATTTCAGAATTTTATTAAAATTATTGCATTGTTTTGCTCACTGTTAAACCAGTAATCCTAAACCATGTATGTGTAAAAACAGACTGGCTTCATACTATATCTACTAAATCATAAAATGGCTTATTTGGTTTTGGCTTAGGGTGCTGCACAAATCCAGTCAATGTAATTTGTAAAACATGACCCATGACTTCACTATGTGAGCCCAATCAACTGCCCAGGAATCTCTAATTAAACATCGTAACTTAGCACATTGTTCAAAATAAAGTGATTGCAGCATTATGCTGGCATAATTAAATATACTGAAACTACTGCACGGTGGCTTTTGAAAAGGTAGTTAACTGTTAGGGTTAATTTTAATAATGCTCTCTACTTCCCTCTGAAAATCAGAAAATCCTAATAGCAAATGCATGAGACAAACACATACACACACGTGCACACACACACACACACACACAATACTCCAAGATCCATTTTATAAGCATCAAGTTAGTTAGTCACCCATTTTGTCAGAGGTGTTTGAGAAATTGAAAAAAAAAACACATTTAAGACTCTATGTTGAGGACTGGATTCAACTAATATACAAAATGCTCCTTTGTAGAAAACATGTAACCTATAAAATACCAAAAAAATATACCCAGAAATAATATGTAGCATAAGCATACTATCCTTAAGATCAATATGTTAATTGTGCTGTAATCTTGAAGATGCGCCTATATTATTAGCTGCTTTGAAAAAAGGAAATAGACTATGAAAAATTGCCTTTAAAAAAGACCTCCAAGCTCCCTTACTATTATGACTATTACTATTACTACTTACTACTATTATTACTATTTATTATTATTAATATTATTATTGCTGCTGCTGCTGCTGCTGCTGCACACGCAAGGCTTACACCTTAATTTTCCGCAAGGGCGAAGTGCAGCAGACGCCGTTCTCTGTACACAAAAGCGAGCACAACTGAATGCTGCAACATCACTAAATCGATCTACGTTGTGTATCAATACTTCGAGCTACGCTTAAAAAACGTGGCTTACCATCAATCTGGGTTTGTCCGGAACAGGCCTGGTTTCCCTTCAATTTCCTTCCAGGCCGCGGGGGGGGAGAAAGGGGGGAGGGGGAATAACAATAATAATAATAATAATTAAAAACGAGAGGAGCGACGAAAGCCCAACGGAGACGCGTCGCCTTCGATGACGTCACTGAGGCGAAAACTGTCGGGAGGCGGTGTTTGTGAGCGGTAATTCCAAGCAGGGACGCTTCATCTCTCTCTCTCTCTCTCTCTCTCTCTCTCGATTGGTGCATAGGGAAAGGGGGCGGAGCCACCAAGCGTTCTTAGACGGAGTTTTGGCGCTGGGACGTCTCGCTCTCTGGTTATATCCAGAGCGCGAGTGAGGAGGAACCGGAGAACGCTGTTCAAGGTTTTCCTATTTTATACGGAGACCTGGGATTTAAATTTAAATAGCAGGCTTTCAAGTTCCTATGATCAAACCTCAGTTCAGTGTCTTGATATGGTAAGCCCTGTTTAAGGGAAAGGGGCTATTTCAGACGGCCAGTAGCGGTTCAATGGCCAGCAACCTGTGATTTCATATAGCAAATGTTTATTTAGCTAAGCCATTGTAATAATAATGATGATGATGATGATGTAATGATAATATAAAATAATATAATGATAATATAAAATAATATAATGATAGAACAATAATAGCAATTATTGCTATTGCTATTATTCTCATCATCACTATATTGTTATTGTTTTAATAGTAACAATTGTTATTGTTTTAATATAGAGAATAGCAATAAAAATAATAATTGCTATTAAAATAAAAATAATAGCAATTATTGCTGTATTGTATTGTATTATATTATATTATATGATCATATGATCATATCATATATTATTATATTATATTATATTGTATTGTATTATATTATATTATATTATATTATATTATATTATATTATATTATATTATATTATATTATTTATTATTATTTATATTGTTGGAAGGGACCTTGGAGGTCTTCTAGTCTGTACCGTTTCAGACAAATGGCTGTCCAGTCTCTTCTTAAAAACTTCCAGTGTTGGAGCATTCACAACTTTTGGAGGCATTTTGTTCCACTGGATAATTGTTCTAACTATCAGGAAGTTTCTCCTCAGTTCTGGGTTGCTTCTCTCCTTGATTAGTTTCCATCTGTTGCTTCTTGTCCTGCCTTCAGGTGCTTTCCTGACAGTTGGAACAATTAACCAGTGGCACAACTTGCATCTAGAAATTGTGGAAGCTTCAACACTGGAGGTTTTTAAGAGGAGATTGGATAGCCAACTCTGTTATTCTTTCTATTCTATTCTATTCCATTCCATTCCGTTCTAATCCATTCCATTCTACTTATTCCATTCCATCCCATTCTATTCCATTCCATTCCATTCTATTCTGTTCTAATCTATTCCATTCTAATCTATTCCATTCTATTCCATTCCATTCTATTCCGTTCTAATCTATTCCATTCTATTCTATTCCATTCCGTTCCGTTCTAATCTATTCCATTCCATTCTAATCTATTCCATTCCATTCCATTCTACTTATTCCATTCCATCCCATTCTATTCTATTCCATTCCATTCCATTTTATTCCGTTCTAATCTATCCCATTCTTATTCCATTCCATTCCATTCTATTCTATTCCATTCCATTCTATTCTTTTCTTTTCTATTCTATTCCACTCCATTCCATTCCATTGCATTCTATTCCGTTCTAATCTATTCCATTCCATTCTATTCTATTCTATAAGGATTACAAATCAAACAACGACATCTTTAAACGAGGTTCAGCGAAGCGGGAGGGAAGGAAGGCGTTTCTTTCGCGGAAAGGAGCTGGGGAGGGCGGGAGGAGAAAGATTCAACTAAGAACACTGATACCACCCCCTCCCACCCACCCACCCACCCACCCACCGCTTCCTCGCTCCCAGAAACTCACCGCAAAAGCCCCCCCCCCATCAGCCCCGCTGCGAGGGACAGGCGGGGTCCCGGGGTGCAGCGGCATCGCCCCACCTGCCCCTGCAACCGGAGCCGCCCCCCCCCAGGTTGCACCCAGCGACTGAAAGTATCGCCCAGGAGAAGCTTCCCCCCCCCACTCTCCCTCCGTCCCCTCCGAGCTCGCTTCGAAGTTCTCCGTCCGAGCCAAAATTGGCTAGAGAGAAAGAGGAAATCAGCGCGCTTCCTTTGCGCGCCTTCCAGGGCCCTGGAGGAAGAACGCCCGGGGCGAGACCGGGTCCCTCCCCGCCCCCCCCCCGATCCTCTGAGGAGGAGGGGGGAAAAAAAGAGTCCCGGCACCCCCCCCCAGCCTTTCCTTGGGAGGGAGGTAAATTGGGAGGGGGGAGGGAAATCACCCACTTTCTTTGCTTCAGTTTTCAGCCCCGTTGGGTTAATGAAGACGTCTTAATAATTAATTATTAATTATCTTGTATGTCAGTGTTTCCCAAACTTGACAATTTTAAGGCATGTGGACTTCAACTCCCAGAATTCCACAGCCAGCAATGCTGGCTGTGGAATTCTGGGAGTTGAAGTCCACATGCCTTAAAATTGTCAAGTTTGGGAAACACCCAAATTTACAACCCAAATGTTGGAGATGTGGTAATGTGGATGCGACATATTTTCAGGTTTGGTGGAATTGTAAAAAGGTAAAGGCTTTCTGGATTATGATTTGGTGGAACGTTCAAAAGATTTTTAAAAGGAAGATAAAGTTCCCCCCTCAGTTATTCCTATTGGGTATCTTTGTGGATTTAAATGACAAAGAAACTATTTTAATGTTGAATTTATTAACTGCAGCAAGGTTATTAGTAGGCTCCTATTGGAAGAAGGACTCGTTGCCTACTTTAGAAGAATGTATATTTAAAGTTTCTAACTTTGCAGAAATGGCAAAAATTTCTGCTTATTTGAAGGATCATACACAAGAAAGATATATTATTGTATGGAGAAGATGGATAGATTATATTCAGAAAAAATATGGGATTATAAAGTTTCATTTATTTTATGAGTAAATTTTATAGTAACTGTTGTAGAGATTTGTTTATATGACTTAATTTAAGGAGAGTTAAAGGTTAAGTATGATTTTTTTTCTCTTTTTTCTTATTGTTAACTTTCTTAATAATAACCCTGTATTCTGCTCTGGGAAGCGAGGGGGGGAGGGTTGAGGGTGGGTGGGTGGGTGAGTGGGTGAGTAATGATAATATAGATATGGTAAACGCTTGGGCGTTTCCCCTATGCTGCGTTCATGTGTGTGAGAGGGATGAGAGGGGAGGAAGGAGTAGGGAGGAAGTAGGATGGTTAGAGGAGAAGGGGAGGGGAAGAGAGTAGGAGGGGAGGAGAGAAAGAGGAGGGAAGTGGGGAAGGATAGAGAGGGTGGACGCAGCCTGGGGGGAATGGGCAGGCGGTACCAATGGTTAGGAATTTAATTGTATTTTGTATGAATAAATGGAAAATAAAAACCTTTTAATAAAAAAATTAATTATTATTATTAATAATTCGTAATAACTAATCATTGGTAATTAATAGTTAATAATTGGTAGTTAATAATTGGTAATTAGTGATCAATGATCAATAATCATAAAGTTGGAAGGGACCTTGGAGGTCATCTAGTCCAGTGGTTCGTAACCTTTTTGAACGAATCGCCCCCTTGAGCCAATGAGGAAGTTGTCATGGCCCCCCTCCCCCAACATAACCTCTCAATCATAGGAAATAATTCTTCAATTTATGCAAACCCTTTTTTTTTTGTTTTCTTTAAAATTGTCATCAGGACATATCGATGCAAATAATTTATTTCCAGTCTTTTTCCCATATCTCCCATATTCTGGCCAATGGCGTGCCACTGTATGGGTAGAGGCTGCTGCGCAAGGCGCATGAAGATAAGCGACGCGTATTCACATAGGTACAGCGTTCTGTACTGAAGCTAGCTGGAGGAACATTTGAAAACACAATTCAATCCACTAATAGCGAGCAATCTGATGTTTTTGTACGACAGATATACAGCGTTTCACTGTACGAAAAAGTCTCAAAAGTGTCCCCAAAACATCTTGCTCCATCACCCCCATATCGCCCCCTTTTCGTTCCTTCGCCCCCGTCGCCCCTTTTCATTCCATCGCCCCCCTGAAGAATGAAATCACCCCCTGGGGGGCAATATCGCCCAGGTTAAAAACCACTGATCTAGTCCAACCCCCTACTCAGGCAGGAAGCCCTGTACCATTTCAGACAAATGGCTGTCCAGAGGAAGGATTGAAGAAAGAGCGGGAAAGTGAAGGGATCCTGCGTGCTTCCCTCCCGCCAGGCGCGGCCAAAGGCTGCTGGTTCAAGAGGGAGCCGGACTCCTGCTTGATCAAGGATCTCCTGCTTGAGCAGGGGTGTCGGGCTGGACTAGAAGACCTCCAAGGTCCCTTCCAGCTCTATTCTGATTCCTGGCTGGCCACTCTCGCTCGCTGTGGCCAGGCCCCTTGCCTCATTTTCTCCGCCGCCCCGACCGCTGCTTCCCTTCTGGACTGCGCTGGGGACGTTCCGAGTCCAAAGTCAGACAGGAAGGACCGGGATTGGCCCTTTCAGTCCCCCCCTCTCCCCACGTCCCACTCCGCCTTTCGCGTCCCACCTCCTTTCCGGGACAGCAGCCTCCAGTTGTGCACACCGGAGCCTTCTGAAATGGGATAGGTTCTCCTGCTTGAGTCGGGGTGGGGGGGGGCTGGACTAGAAGACCTTCAAGGTCCCTTCTCACGCAAGAACTGAAGAAAGCTTCTCGGATGAGAAGTGAGACGTTTTTTAAGTTAAAAACAAAGCAAAACAAGGAAGTTCTTTTGAACACCCCTTTTTGGGATAAACTGATGACTTGCTTAACCCCACCTTCCAGCTCAGCTTGTTGGTCTCCTACAAAGAGCTTGGGCCAAGGTGGTCCAGAGGTCCCCTCAAAGGATAAGTAGGGGGCTCCTAACTCCTGGAAGAACCACCTCCCCAATTGGGTGCCCCCTCCCACCGTAGCCAAGTTCCACAAAGTTATTAAAGGTAGCTATTCTCAGAAGCTTGTTTCCGGAGATGAACACCTGGGCTGTCTCTCCATCCGTGGTTCTTTCTTTGTTCTTCCTTTGTTTTTCAGGGGTGTCTCTTGGTGGTTTCAGGCTCTGAGGTTGCTGCAGCACCAACAGATGCAAAACCGTGTTGATGTTTAAGTCGTGGGAAAAGAAATAGGGTGATACCAGACAGTACATGAAGCAAATTTGTCTGAAATGGTATAGGGTTTCCTGCCTGAGCAGGGGGTTGGGCTAGATGACCTCCAAGGTACCTTCCAACTTTATTATTGTTGTTGTTGTTGTTATTATTATTATTATTATTATTAATCCAGGGATCCAGATAATTTGCTTCACCCACAATGCTTTTTAATTTCTGGGCTAACCTTCTCTACAATCTTGCCCATAAAGAAAGGTTGGAGGTAGAACAATGATTATCAAGAACAGCCAGGTCAAGTAAACGCTTTTTCAGGATGGGACATATTAACAACTATTTTGAGACTGCAGCAGCATCACCCTTCTCAGAGAAGCTTTCATCGTTTTATTTATCCAACATTGTGTTACCAATTGTATTTAAACATCTGAAGACCGATCTTGATAAAAACTTAAGAGATGTATTTCACATAGGGTAATTTGTTCTCATTTGCAACTAGATAAAGTATCATTCTGGATTTCCCCCCCCCCCTTTTTTTTTTCTTTTTTCCCTTCTATGTCTTGCTGTATAGTTTATATGGGGTGAAAAAGTGAAAGATTGGCCAAAAGCAAAATTTTGTGAAGAGTAGATTTAGACCTAGATCTTCAGTCCTAGTGTAATAAAAAAAAAACCTTTATCTCATATTGATATGTGCCCCTTTTAAAAATTATACTCATAGAAATCTATTCCTTGGATAAAAATGACATTACTCTAGATTACTCTACTCATTTCAATTCAATTATATGTTTATGGGCTCCCTATAATGCAGTGGTTCTCAACCTGTGGGTCGGAACCCCATTTGGGGTCAAACGACCATTTCACGGGGGTCGCCAAACAATGCAGTCTGCCATTTCCCCTCCCCCCTTTTCCTTAGCTGTGCTACTCCCTTTTATTCTATTGGCTTTTGAAAGCCAACAGAATAGACTCTCTTGAATAGAGTCTAATTCTATTGGCTTTCAAAAGCCAATAGGAATTGTCCAGGCTGTCTCTGCCCTGCTGAGCCCGCCAAAAGTCCCATTCTGCAAACAGTGCTGCACCAGTTGAGTAGTCCTCGACTTAAGACCGGTTGAGTAGTCCTCAACTTACGACCGGTTGGGGGGGTCGCGGCATTAAAAAGTTTGAGAACCACTGCTATAATGCAAAGGACATGAGGATGCCCCCCACTTCCACACTCATTCCTGGGAAAATAAATCAACTGAAGAAAGAATTTGTCCTAGATTTTATTGTTCCTATTACCAAACAGCTTTCTTAAGCACAGATGCATTGGAAAGTTTTGATTCTAGAAAAGTGTTTAAAGAAAGTTTAGCATTAAAAAAAAAAGGGCAGGAGAAAGAGTATTTTTTCTAGTAAGGTCAAAGAATTTGAATTTGAAACTTTGTTAATAAAAATGGCGACAGTTTACAAAGGTTATTAGGTGCAAATAGAAATATGTACTATTTCCACAGCAAGGAAGGTAAAGGAATGGTTAAATTGGTTCTGTTCACAGTGAAGAATACATTGGAGTATTTTTTTTTTTAATTTGGATACCACTTTGGGATTTTGCGCTTGTGAGGAAAAAAAGATGAAATTTTGACTTTGGTTTTGTCGATTAGATAGACTTGTCGTTATAGAAATGGCTAGTTATATATTAATGTGTAAAAGCAAAAAGTTGAGGCTGGAGTGTTTTAATCTTGTACTGTGCTAAAAAGAGTCGGAAGTTGACACCTTTCCCCCTCTTTTTTTCCCTTCTCCTTTTCTTTCCCTTAATCTATTTCTATTTTTTCTTTGTATTTTATATATTAAATAAAATTTAATTAAAAAACCCCTCCATATACAGAGAGACAAGACACCTGAAGACTAGGGCAAAGCAAACTCCAGGACAGGCCCACACAAAGGGTCTTCTTTGGCTACTTTAAAGACTTATGGACTTCAACTCCCAGAATTCCTCAGCCAGCATGGAATTCGGGGAGTTGAAGTCCACAACTCTTAAAACTGCCAAGTTTGGAGACCCCCTGTCCTAACGAATCTCTTCCCAGAGGAAGAAAGCGCCAATGCCCTAGCTCAGGGGTAGGCAACCTTGGCTCTTTTATGACTTGTGGACTTCAACTCCCAGAATTCCTGAGCCAGGCTGGCTGAAGAATTCTGGGAGTTGAAGTTCATGAGTCATAAAAGAGCCAAGGTTGCCTACCCTTGCCCTAGCTCACAGGTTGGCAACCTGCGGCTCCGGAGCCGCATGCAGCTCTTTGAGCCTTCCCCTGTGGCTTCCAACCTCCTCTGCCATTTGCAGAGAGAGACAGAGTCAGAGAGAGGCACTTGCACTTCCCTGCTTCTCTCTCTCTCTCTCTCTCTCTCTCTCTCTCTCTCTCTCTCTCTCTGTGTGTGTGTGTGTGTGTGTGTAAAAGAGAGTAGACTCACAATGTTCTCCGACAAGCTGAAAAGCTTTTTGGGCGGGGCTCCTCCCTTTGCTGTGTCTCTGCAGGAAGCAGGAAGGGCAGGAGAGAGCTAGCTAGGCCAGTTATGCTGACTCCGGAATTCTGGGAGTTAAAGTCCTTGAGTCATAAAAGAGCCGAGGTTGCCTACCCCTGAGCTTGTTAGAGAACAGCTTGAAGCCAGCTTGCCAGGTGAGCAGAAGAGAGGGGGGGAGAGAAAGAGAGAGGGGGGGAGAGAAGGAAAGAGAGTGGGGGAAGAGGACTGGCAGACCAAGGGCAGAAAGAGAGGGAGGGAGACAGAGAGACCCATTTGACATCTAAATGAAGATAACACTGCATATATCCTCTTTTAATCTTTATGAAACCCCGCCCACCCCAAAGCCCAGCAAGTGTATTTCTCAACTCGGTCTACCTCACAGGATTGTTGTGGGGAAAAATCAGAAGGAATGCTTTTTACGATCTGGAGCCCCTGGAGGACCGGAGGCATTGCAAGGGGGCAGCTGGGGTGTGTGTGCAACAGACTGTTTGCGGGGGGGGGGGCGCAGGCCCCTAAGAAAAGGCTGTTGCTTTCTTTAACGTTCCCCTCAGAGCATGGAGCTTTGCAGAAAGTCTGGAGTCTGGACCATAAAGGCCTTTGGAAGGGAATCCCCCCTCCCAGGCTCAGAACCGGAACTGGAGGATTCCCGTGGCCTCATCCCCAGGGCCAGCTGGTCTCTGCCTTAGAGCTCCTCACTCTTTGCTGGTTTGCACACCTGCCATTTCTCCTGATTGCTTCCAGGAGAGTGGGGGCGGCAAAACAGGTCTTTCTAGGCACCTGGGAGTCGCGTCCTGCCTGAGGCATCCTGGGAGTTGAAGTCCACATGGCTGAACGTTGCCAAGGTTGAGGCCTGTAGAGGAGACAACCACTGGTTTTTCTTCTGGGGCTGCTGGGTTTTTTGTTTTGTTTTGTTTTGTTTTGTTTTGTGGTTTACTGATCTTCTGGAGGACTTTCGTGGTTTAGGTCTAGGGCTGGTCTTTGTTTGGCCCTAGCCTGGAGAGATTTGGTAATACATCCATCCCACGTTTTCGATTTGGAATGCCCCATTCTTTCTTGGCTGCACCCTGGCGACGCAATGGCTCCTGGGAAACTCCGAGTGCTTTGCAATCCGTAGGATGCCTTGTGGTTCAGAGAGAGAGAGAGAGAGAAAAAAAATGGAGGAAGTCAACACTCCCCTCCATCTGCATGGGGGGAACGTGTTTCTTCTCCCCCTCTGATTTCTTGTCCCCCCCCCCCACTGCACGCTTGACAGGCATGGGGAGAAGTAGTCAAAGAGGAAGGAAGGATTGCAACTCCTCCCTCTGGACAAAGAGCTGCTGGTGCCCCCCCCATTTCTCCCCCAGGGTTCCCCTGTGTCTCCAGCTCATCCTGGCCAAGGAGCCTTTTTTTCCTGCATAGCCCCAGCTGCCCTTTTCCTTCTCCCCCTCCCCTCCAGTCCTTCCTGGAGAGAAATCCCCCATTTCTCCAGGGTGCCCCAATTCCTGCTCTGGGCTCCTTCCCTGTTTCTCTCTCCTGTCTTGGAGCTGATGGGCCAGAGAGGCTGAGCTGAGCCGGATCTTCCCCTGCAGAGCAACCCATCAGAGGAAGCCCAGGATCCCCACATGATCTCCTTGGAAACACTTTGAGGATTAATTCCCCACCTCCAACGATCCGAAGCCCAGAGTATTGTGCCTTAAACAGCAGCAATAATCGGCAACAATCATACTCACCCCTGACGTTTGCGGCGACAACAGTGATTGCGTCTCGTCGTCTGTATCGTGCACGGGAGAAGAAGGAACGCTTTGTGAAGGAGTCGGATCATTGCAGGGTGCCACTTCCTCATAGAGATTATTTCCGTGTTTCTTACACCGGCCTGACAGATGGCAAAAAGAGAAGACAGTTTATTTGGGGGGGGGGAGCAGCTCCTGCTTGAGCTGGAGAAGGACACTTCCGTAGGAACCTGCATTGAACCGCCATCAATTACCTTACAACAATGATGCCAAACCTCTGGCAATCTAGCAGTTGGTATAGGAGAGATGGTGTTTCCCCCCATATTCTGCGCTCAGAAGTTCTTAATTCAACTGCCATAACTTTTGTGATCTAATCTTAAACTAGCCAGATCTAAGAACCAGCAAGTTTTGACTGATCTTGAAAGGCTAAACAGGGTCTGGCTGGGTTAGAGAATCACAAGCCAATCGGAAGAGGAGACCCGTCCTGGAAGAAGGAAGTAGCAAAGCACTTCCAAATCCTGGCTGAGAAAAGGAAGTGCTGAGATGCACATGGTGAAACTCAACTGAGGAGACACGTCCTGCCTCCTTCCACCCTCTTGTGTCTCTTGCTCTGAGGAGGAGCAGAAGCAGCAGCAGGAACTTCTCCCACCAGACCTTCCTCCCTGCTCCTGCCTGTCCCCAGGTGGGAGTGCAAGAAGGGGCAGAGGGCATGGGGCCCCTCCCTCCATGGACCTCCCCCTCCCGTCAGAGCGTCCCTTTGCTAGGAGACATGGCAAATAGATCTCCTCCAGGGACAGGATTATGGAATTTCCAGCACTTCCCAGATCATTTAAGGCAGGGGTCCCCAACCCCCAGTCTGTGGACTGGTACCCGTCTGCAGCATGCCAGCAAATGGGCCGCACAAACAAGCAAAGCTCCATCCTCGGGATGTCGGCAGTATTGGAAACCACACCCCCTCTGGTCCACGGAAAAACCTTTCTCCGTGGCAATGATCCCTGGGGCCCAAAATGTTGGGGACCTCTGATTTCAGGGGCTTTTCCTGGACTCCTGAGCTGCTGATATTTGCTCCTCTGAACAGGTCCATTGAGGCCATAGAGTTTTCCTCCCAGACAAGAGGAATGTACGGGATGTATTGAGATTTGCAGGAAGTGGAAAAATGACTGCGTATCTTCTTCCTTCCTTTCTGACCCCTGTTCAAAAGGCTGTTTGTGGAGGAGGGTCTTGTGGGGGCTCATGGCTGCAACTCTCAGAGAGGCTCTTTCCTATCAACACCAGCTCAGTTAATCCAGAAAGAGACAGGAGGGTGTTTCACTTACGGTTCAGGAAGAAAATTACAAGTCCCAAGACAAGCAAGACTACGGGAACCACAATTCCCACAATAATCTTCCACGCATCTGTTAAAGAAGGAGAAACATGGTTCCTATTAGATTAGACCCACGGTGGCGAACCTATGGCACGCATGCCACAGGTTGCATGCAGAGCCCTCTCTGTGGGCACACGCGCTGTCACCCCAGCCCTAGGCCTTCAGCTGGGTTTTATAAAACCTTTTTGCTTTAGGCCTCCGCTGCTGGGTGCAAAAAAAAAAAAAAGATTCAATCAATCGATCAATTTCAACTTCTCACGGGAAAAAAAAGATCGCGCAAAGTTGGAATTGATTGATTGAATGTTTTAATCCCACACAGTCTGCCATTACCACTGCAGCCACGCCCACCCAATGGGCCACACCCACCCAATGGGCCACACTCACCCGGCACCCAATGATACATAAGTAGGTTTTGTATTGCAGTTTAGGCACATGGTCTGTAAAAGGTTTGCCATCACTGGATTAGACAGTTCCTGGAAGTGGAGATGCTGAGCAATGGAAGCGTTTCCCAACCTGCATTCGCCTCCAGGAAGTGCCCCCACCTGAAGGAAGCCCCTCCCCTCCAAGGCTGCAGGGGGCAGAGCGAATGGCCTTGGAGGGCAGAAGGAAGAGCCACCACCTATCGTCTCCTCTATCACATCATCTATCATCATCTATCATATGTTCATGCCTGTTGCTATTGCATTACCACTTCCAGCTCCTGTGACGGAAAGCGTTTCCTAACATGGGATGTTGCAGAAGAAAATTACCCCACTACCATTTATTTTCAAACATTTGTGTAAAATCTAACTTCTAATGCCAGACCCTCCCAGCCTCTCACCTATTTCCTTCTGTTTAAATGCCAAGATCAGGGGCTCCTGCAGGCCCTTGTGCTCCAGGTGACACCGAAAATGGTCCCTCTCCTTGGGGTCGATCTCGATGCCGAGCCAGAGATAATAGGTCCCATCCGAGTTGGGGGCCACGTTCCTAGGGAGGGTCTTGTGTTCCCAGATCTCCCCATCCCTCGTCCAGTTGGCCTGGATCTCCTTGGGGTAGAAGCCAAAGGCCTGGCAGATGAGGATCTCCAGGCTGACATCAACCACCTTGCGAGTCACCTCCCCCACTGGGGGCTCTGCAAAAGCAACAACACCAGATTTTCAAGGATTTCAAGAGTATCTAGCAAGGTGATTTAAACAGCAAGACTTCATTTGATCATCCTCTCCCACCGCTCCCTCTCCTTGCCTCAACCTGTGCGAGCCCCTAAAATGGGGAATTGGAGTTCCTTAGATTAAGCTTTGAAAGGGATACATCGAATTTGGGGTAATGTTCTTACACTGGCCGATTTGGCGGATTGATTCAATTTTAAGCTCCCAAATTGAATTTATTTCCATCCGAACAAATTTGAACAAACAACAGACTGACCATTTCCTTCTGACCAAACACAAGACATTCATTTTCTTCTGCTTTGCAAGGCTTCCCCAGGAAAATAGAATGAGACCTTCGGCATGAATTTCTTGCTCAGTTTCCTTTTTTTTTTTTAAAAAAAAAGTACTTACTTTGTGGGGCACTGAAGATTATTTTCCTTCTGTATTGGGATGGGCCAGGGGTAGGCAACCTTGGCTCTTTTATGACACATGGACTCCCAGAATTCCTGAGGCAGCCATGCTGAGGGGAAAGGGAGAGGTTTCCAAATTGAGCCATGCTGGCTCAGGAATTCTGGGAGTTGAAGTCCACAAGTCATAAAGCGGCCTAGGCCTAGGCCAGAGGAGGCAACCTTGGCTCTTTTATGGCTCGTAGACTTCAACTCCCAGAATTCCTGAGCCAGCCATGCTGAGGGGAAAGGGAGAGGTTTCCAAGCTGAGCCATGCTGGCTCAGGAATTCTGGGAGTTGAAGTCCACAAGTCATAAAGCCGGCCTAGGCCAGAGATAGGTAACCTTGGCTCTTTTATGACTCGTGGACTTCAACTCCCAGAATTCCTGAGCCAGCATGGCTCAGCTTGGAAACCTCTCCCTTTCCCCTCAGCATGGCTGGCTCAGGAATTCTGGGAGTTGAAGTCCACGAGTCATAAAAGAGCCACGGTTGACAACCCCTGGGATGGGGGATTCTTCCTGACCTTTTTCTGTCAATATTTTAAAAGGTGGCTTGGCTGCTTAGGAGAGAAACAATATGGGGAGGGGGGAGCACACAGAAATATGCTCAACGGAGACCCCCTTTGCCACTCACCGATCCTCTGCAGAGTCTTGTTCCTGTAGGACAGGTATCTCTGCAGCCACTCAATGCAGGTCTCCTCCAGGAAGAATTTGTTTCTCTCAGACCATCCTGGGTCATCCTCCCACTTCCGCTTGAGCTTCCTGGCCTGGGGCTGAGCTGGCACCCATCTAAGGGTCTCCTTGTCGAAGCTGATGAAGTCCATCCCGTCGTAGCCATAGCGGAAAAACCCTCCTTTGCTCCCGTCGTCCATGAGCTCGCAGCCCAAAACCACCTGCCAGGTGTGAAGCCCTGAAGGAGAGGAGAGAGGGCGGGTGTGAATGAAAAGGGTCCAGGATTCCTCTCCCTAGACACCCTGAGAGTCTTCCTCCCTTCCCACCTGAGGAGAGAAATCAGATTTCTCCTTCCCTTCTTTATCACACAAGGAGAAACATCTTTTACTTCAATTAACCCTGTTTGGCTGGAATCAGGCCATGAAGAATTTCTAGGTGAGGGAGAATTCTAGGCCTGTGTGTGTGTGTGTGTGTGTGTGTGTGTGTGTGTGTGTGTGTGTGTTGTCTTTCCTTTGCAGGAAAGAAAATCTCACAATTACGTCCCCTGCAACCATCGGAGGCCAAGGATGGCACTGCCTCTGCTCACCTCCAGCACGGTGATCCCATTTTGATAACTTCGGATCGGTTCTGAACACCCACTCAGGGGACAGAAAGGCCTTCTTGTCCATCTCCTCCATCCAGAGCACCAGAGGCTCCATCTTCCTGGTGAGGTTGTCATAGCGAGCGATCGGCTGGTCATCCAAGTAGCTCCTAATGGAGAACTTGGGCAGCCCCTGGCTGGGCTCTGGCAGATGCAGGTAGAAGTAGCTCAGGGAGTGTGAGGGAGAGCCTGGAGAGAGAGGAGGGAGAAGAGAAGAATTGGGGGGAGGTCTGCTTTGCAGCTTCAGTTTCTCCACATTTGGTGATTCAGCAAACTCCACAACAATTGATCCACCTCTTTCTGCCCTGCGTTTGAAGGTCCATGCCTTTAAACCCGAAGAGGGAAACTCCAGCATCCCTTAGAATAGAATAGAGCTGGAAGGGACCTTGGAGGTCTTCTAGTCCAACCCTCTGCTCAAGCAGAAGAACCTATTCCATTTCGGACAAATGGCTGTCCAGTCTCGTCTTAAAAATGTCCAGTGTTGGAGCATTCACCGCTTCTGGAGGCAGGTTGTTCCACTGGTTAATTGTTCTAACTGTCAGGAAGTTTCTCCTTAATTCTAACTTGCTTCTCTCCTTGATTAGCTTCCATCCCTTGTCCTGCCTTCAGGTGCTTTAGAGAATAGCTTGATTCCCTCTTTTGGGGAGCAGCCCCTGAGATATTGGAATGCTGCTCTCATGTCCCCCCTCCTCCTTCTCCTTCTCTTCATTAAACTAGACATACTCAGTTCCAGCAACCGTTCCTTATATGTTTTAGCCTCCAGTCCCCTCATCATCTTTGTTGCTCTTCTCTGTACTCTTTCTAGAGTTTCAACATCTTTTTTACATCGTGGTGACCAAAACTGGATGCAGTATTCCAAGTGTGGCCTTACCAAGGCATTGTAAAGTGGTATTAATACTTTGCGTGATCTCGATTCTATCCCTCTGTTAATGCAGCCTAGCACTGTGTTGGCCTTTTGGGCAGGTGCAGCACACTGCTGGCTCATATTTAGGTGATTGTCCATTAGGACTCCGAGGTCCCTCTCACAGTTACTATTATTGAGCAAGGTACCCCCTATACTATATCTGTGCATTTGGTTTTTCTTGCCTAAATGTTGAACCTTGCTTCTTGCACCACTGAATTTCATTTTGTTAGATAGCGCCCAATGTTCAAGTGTGTCAAAATCCTCTGTATCTTAAGCCTATCTTCTGGAGCGTTGGCTATTCCTGCCACCTTGGTGTCATCTATAAATAGGAGCCAGGTAGCCCCTATACCAGGGGTAGGCAACCTTGGCTCTTTTATGACTCGTGGACTTCAGCTCCCAGAATTCCTGAGCTGCCTGGCTCAGCTTGGAAACCTCTCCCTTTCCCCTCAGCATGGCTGGCTCAGGAATTCTGGGAGTTGAAGTCCACGAGTCATAAAAGAGCCAAGGTTGCCTACCCCTGCCCTATACTGTTCCTGTGCGTGTCGTTTTTCTTGCCTAAATGTAGAAACTTATTTTTTTTTTTCACCACTGAATTTCATTCAGTGGCTGACCCTGGAAAACAGCTGGAAAGTCCACATTGGCCCTTCTCTGGGTTTCTGGCTTCCCAGTCAGCTGCTTGTGTGTGTAACCCTGATCGCAACCTCCTTGCTAATTCTGGAGTCAACGGAACCCAATTCACATGGACATTAACAAATGACTTTGAGAATTGGGTCTTCCTCAGAAAAGGGGGATCACCCTCTGAGTTTTTCAGGTGATCGACCGCATAGTTTGCTGACTGGGGTGAAGCAGTTATTGACACACAGCAGCCCCCCCTCCCCCAAACAACTGGATGGCCACATCTGGGTAAGATGCTCTTGTTGCTCCCCTGGGCCCCAGGGGTTCCTAGCCTGCTGTTTGGCAACACCCTCCCCCCCCCCCGTTGTCCACTTTGGGGAGTGTCAGGTAGACCCGAGTTTCGTGGAAGTTAACAATTGAGTTAAAGACATGATTGCTCTCCAGGGTGGAAATCTTTCCAAGCATGGATAAGGTTTTGTTTTTTTTTTAATTGCAATTTTTTTTTATTTTCAATTAAAATTATGATGTTAAAGTTTGAAGAGAGTTAAGGGTTAGTATGATTTTGGTTATTGTATAATTAGTAAATTTAAGTAGGTTATGTTTAATATGTTTGTATAACCCTGTACTTGGCTCTGGGAAGTCGGGGAGGGGGTTGGGGGGAGGGGAGTGGGGGGGAGGATGAGTTGGAGATTAAATAGCTCAGATAAGTAGGAACGGTTTTTATTGTATATAATATTTTTTTATATATATATAAATTTTTATTCATAATACAATTAAAACAACAATGGACAAACATGACATTCCAGAGTGAATTTTCCTATCAGTTCCTATCATAGTACAAAAGTTTAATACATTGTTCTTAACCTCTATATAAGCCTCATCTTCTATACAATACAATTATATGTACAGTTATGTATATTTTTTAATTCTACCATTAGCTTGAAGTCCGAGCAGTTCTTAATTCATACCAACGTATATAATATTGATGTTTCCATTTGCAGAGAGGAATTGCTCGGGCATTTCCAGGGGACAGCATCCGAAGTGGGAGATAGTAGGAAGGGTAGACGCAAGTAGGAAGGTGGAGGAGAAGGTGGAGGAGAGGAGGAGAGTAAGGAATAAGAGGGAGGAAGAGGGAAGTGAGAGAAGAGGGCAGAGGGTGGATGCGGTTTGGGGGGAGATGGGTGAGCAATTCCGAAAGCTGTGTGTATAAATTTATTTTATGCGTGGATAAGGTTTGCTGATCAGGGTGGAGATGGCTGGCTGGCGGGAGCTGGAGGCTAAGGACCTTGGCCCATTGCCCAGGCAGGAGTGGCGAAGGACAGGGAGAAGGACAGAAATTTCCCTTTTCACTTTCTCTAAATTCCTGGAGTCAAGGGTTTTTTTGGGGGGGGGGGAAATGGATGGGGCAGTCCCCACACCCTCCCTGCCCGTTTCCTCCCCCCTCCCCGAAGAAAATCCTTCAAGAAACTCACCGCAAAAGCCGCGCGGCGTAAAGGACCCCAGCACCGCTCCCAAGAGCAAGAGGGGCGCCCGGGGCAGCAGCATCGCCCTCCAACCACGCGCCCCCGGGCGCTTCCAACCTGACGTCCGCTAAGAACAAGTAGCTTCGGGGCTGCCCCTAGTTCGAGTCCCGTCCTGGTCCTCAAACAAAGCCCAACTCTGTCTCCGCGAAGGGGAGAGAAAAGAGCGCGGCTCCCTTGCAGTCTTCCGGGGCAGCCTGGAGGGAGGGAGGGAGGGAGGGGTCCCAGGCAGACGCTGCCCACAACCGGCAGGTTAACCTTCAAACGACCTGGTTACCCCGGTTGTGTGAACGCAGCCACCTCCTCGCCCATTCTCCTCGGGAGGCTCTCCAAGCGATCCTCCCCCTTCGCCCCAAAGGGTTTTAGGCAGGAGGTGGCGGTCGATGATCTGAAGGGGAGGGCCGCGTGTTTGGGCAGCCTCAGGCTGGGGACCCCGCTCCCTTCCGCCGGGAGCCCCGGCAGACGCGTCAAGGAGACGCGCTCTTTTCCTTGCGGGCTTTTCTCTCTCTCTCTCTCTCTCTCTCTCTCTCCCTCCCTCTCTCCCCCCTCCCTCTCCCTCCTTCTCTCCCTCTCTCCCCCCCTCTCCCTCCTTCTCTCTCTCTCTCCCTCCCTCTCTCCCCCCTCCCTCTCCCTCCTTCTCTCTCTCTCTCTCTCTCTCTCTCTCTCTCACACACACACACACACACACACACCCGCAGCCCCCCGCGCGAAGATCAGAAGGCTGCGCTCAGGTGCAAGGAGGGGCGGGGGCAAAGCGAGCCTTTGGGCCTTCGCTCCGCCAATGAAAGCGCCGCTCTCCACCCTCGGCCCACCCCTTCGACCCCTTGCCACGCCCCCTCCGAGCTCCTCTGTGATCCTCCGCCCGTCCGAGGTCTGCGGAAACTGCGCTGCACAATAAACTTTTATTGCCGTTTGTTTTGCATGTAATAAAAAAGAACAGGTGCAGTAGGGTAACCAGAGCTGTGTGTGTGTGTGTGTGTTTGTGTGTGCGTGCGCGTGTGCAGATTCCAATATCTCAGGGATTGCCACAAAGAAGATGACCTCCAAGGTCCCTTCCAACTTTATTATTAGTATTATTGGTATTAGTATTATTAGTACTAAGAGGGAGTCAAACTATTCTCCAAAGCACCAGAAGGCAGGACAAGAAGCAACGGATGGAAACTAATCTAGGAGAGAAGCAACCTAGAACTAAGGAGAAACTTCCTGACAGTTAGAACAATTAAACAGTGGAACAACCTGCCTCCAGAAGCTGTGAATGCTCCAACACTGGAAGTTTTTAAGAAGAGACTAGACAGCCACTTATCTGAAATGGTGTAGGGCAGGGGTAGGCAACCTTGGCTCTTTTATGACTCGTGGACTTCAACTCCCAGAATTCCTGAGCCAGCCAGTCCACGAGTCATAAAAGAGCCAAGGTTGCCTACCCCTGGTATAGGGTTTCCTGCCTGAGCAGGAGGTTGGACTAGATGACCTCCAAGGTTCCTTCCAATTCTCTTACTCTATTGTATTCTGTTCTGTTCTGCTCTGGTCTGGTCTACTCTAGAACAGACATGTGAAACACGAGGCCCGGGGGTAGATGCGGCCAAGAAGTGGTTTCATGTGGCCCACAAAGCCATCCTGGAAACAGTGAGGGAACAGCCCCCCACTGCCTTGGCCCTGGCTGCATTTCTTGCCTGTTTTTCTCCCTCCCTCATCTCAAACATTTTCCTACCACTCTGTACTTAGGAAGGAAGGAAAGAAGGAGAGGAAGGTCTGAGGGAAGTCCTGCCTTAGTCCTGCCCTGCTGCCCTTTCACCATCCCCCTTGCCCCCTCCTCCTGGCCTATCCTGGGGGTCTCCCATTCTATTGCTAAGGAAGCTTTGGATACAAAGCCGGGTCTCCTCCCATGGAGAGGGAATGGGCCTCCCTCTGACTTTGCCCTCGTACCCATCATGAGCAACCTGGCTAAGGAGAGCAAGCACAGCAGCAGCAGCCTTGAGGAGCAGGTAAGTGCAGCTGGGCGCCCCCTTGGGGAAGTGGGGCTGGGCTTGGTGCCGCTGGTGCTCGAGGGCCAGGCTGGGCATTTGACCTCTACTGCCCAGGGCTCCGGGCAGCCGGCACCACCATCCAGCCCCCCCACATGACCTGAGAGGAACGGTGAGGCTCCTCCAGTGGACCATGCCTTGGCCCTTGCCCTGGTCCCACCCCCTTCTGCCAGAGACCCTCAGATCTGTCCCACTCCTGCCCAGCCCTCCACAGGCCTCCTTGATGCAAACAATGTAGAGCTGGCCACGCCCACTCAATAGGCCACACCCACTCCACGCCCACCCAGTAGACCGCACCCACCCTGGCCACACACCGCCAGGGCAACCGCAATGCTGATGCGGCCCTCAATGAAATTGAGTTTGACACCCCTGCTCTAGAGGGCCGGGGAAAGCTCCACTTCTGGGCCTTTGCCCCCTCCCCTCGCTTTCCCCTCTGACAAGCCAGCCAGAGTCCCTTGGAGCAGGCATGTCAAACCCGCGATGTCATGTGATGTCACACGACGTATCAGAGCTTTTTCGCCATTGCCGGCAATGGGGTGGGCATGGCTCCAGTATGATGAAACCGGCCCGCAGGCCAGCAGTTTGACACCCCTGCCTTGGAAGGATGGCCCTGACGACGTTTCGACCCAGGCTCTCTAACTCCCAGCTGCTGTTTCGGCATAGTCTTCCAGGGGAGGTCTCACTCAACCAAGGGGCAGGTGGTATGTAGCAGCCAAATCTGGGCAAAAGGATCATTGGCCAGGATTTCAACCAGCCCCTCTCCCCCAGGAGGACTTCTGTGGCCCTCGATGCAGAGGTCTAAGCCCCTTCCCCAATTAGCCTACAGTCTCCCTGAAAATTTCATTCTTCTGTTATTTTTGCCTTTGTTGAAAACCTTTGTACAGCTGCCCCACCCTACAAACAACATTCTGGGAAGTTTATACAGAACACACAAGAGTATATAGGCCTAAAGGAAACATAATAAAAGCATAAAAGGGAATAAAAAAGAGATGACACCTGTTTCCTTTAGACCACAGTCTACCCAGTGCTTGGGAGACCAGGCAGGTCATGTGTGCCCTCTGGAAGATTAAAAAGGGGAGGGGGCTGCTGGATGTCCACATTGTTTATTAAATAGTTACAATTGTAAAATTGGAAATTAATAAAATATTTCCAAAAGAAATAATCTGTCAATAAAGATTATAAAATATATTAAGGCTGTGCAAGGTCAATCACATCAATATATTACAGGCTGTGCAAGATAATCACCTCAATAGATGCAAAATATACTTGCCCTCGGTGTCATTTTGTGATAAGTAAGAAGCAATACATCAATACATGAATGAAAATGCTTCATCATTATAGACCAATAGATGCAAATCTTGGTCCAAATAAAAAGCAATACATGAACAAAAATGGTTCATGAATATAAATACACACATAGATACAAAATGTACTCGCTGTCTTATATCTTCTATATAAGAAGCAATACATCAATACATATAATAAAATACATTGCACGGGTCTGACCCACTGCGTCACTGTGTCATATTGGAATTCAACATAATATGTACACAAGCAATAGAACAAAATCAAACTAGTTTCTTAGATTTTAAAAGAGCTGATTTCAACAAACTTAAAGAGAGCTTGGGAAAGATTTCACGGACGAAAATCTTCAAGGGGAAAATAAGAACCTTGGGAAACTCTGAACAATGTGATTATAAAAGCCCAGTCCAACATAACACCACTGAAAAAAGAGAGATTAGAAATAAGAAATTAAAGAAGCCCATATGGTTGCATAAAGAATTCTCTGATAAGCTGAAAGACAAAAACAAGGAAACTATTGGAGGATTGGAAAAGAGTTGAAGTGGTTCCCATTGTCAAAAAAGGGGAAAAAAACAGATCATGCCAAAAGAATCTTATTTCGTTCTTTGACAAAGCCACTAAATTAGTTGACCAGAGAAATGCTGTGGACATAGTATACTTAGACTTCAACAAGGCATTTGACAAAGTAGACCACAACCTACTTCTTGGTAAGCTAGAAAAATGTGGGATAGACAGATGTTGAGACTTTAGGAAAAGTACAGAGAAGAGCAACTAAGATGATTAAAGGCTTAGAGACTAAAACATATGAAGAACAGTTGCAATATTTGGGTTTGGCTAGTCTAGAGAAAAGAAGGAGTGGGGGGGGGGAGGGAACACGATAGCAGTATTCCAGTATTTGACAGGCTGCCACAAAGAGGAGAGGGTCAATTTATTTTCCAAAGCACCTGAAGGCAGGACAAGAATCAATGCATGGAAAATAATCAAGGAGAAAAGCAACCTAGAACTAAGGAAAAACTTCCTGACGGTGAGAACAATTAATCCACAGAACGGCTTGCCTTCAGAAATTGTGGGTGCTTCATCACTGGAGGCTCTTTAGAAGAGACTGGATGCCATTTGTTTGAAAAGGTAAAGCTTACAAGATATGGGAGACCTTGACCCTCATCAATAACATTCTTACACTTAAAAGCATTCCTGAGCTACTTGTTACCGGCATCTTGTCCTTCAGTATTGCTATCTCTATACGCTAAATAATAAACAATAACTATATCAATATATGAATTAAGATCATAAATTAAAATACATTGAGCTCAGCAGATTTTCGGTCCTGCGCATAGCACAGCAGTTGAGGGATTCGGGACTCCGTGCCCTCCAGCTGAGTTTCTTCCTGTTAGGGGACCCTAAAAGGACCAGAAGCTGCCCCGGAGAGGTGGCAATCAAGGAAGGAAGTCCCGGGGACCTCAGAGAGATGGCGGTCCACCCGATCAGTCCAGGAGAAGCTTCCAGAAACCAACAGGAGAAAGGCTAGCCTAACTTCACAGTCTAGCCCAAGCTGCAAGCAACCGAAGTCAAACAGTGTGCTTGAATCTGGATAAGAAAATCGATTTTCTCTATCCTACCTATCAATTTTCCTGAAGGGGAGAAAAAAATTCCCAAGGAAAAAAAACTCCAAAAATGAGAGGGGTTGCCCCACCCTTTTGCTAACAGAAGCTGCAAATTGAACCAGGAGGTCTAAAATTTGAAAAATGAACCAGTGCTGACACCTACTAGTGGATGAGGATTATGACAGCTATGGTAGAAAGCCACCTGAAGAGACTAGAAGCATTTGAAATGTGGATTTACAGGCGGCTATTACGTATAAGCTGGATTGACAAGATCAGAAATGAGATGATAAGCTGCCTGGGCAAGCCAAGGGAAATCATCAAAACAATTAAAAAACGGAAATTAGAATATTTCGGACATGTGATGCGACACCCAGAAAAATATGACATATTCCATTTAATCCTCCAGGGAAAAATTGATGGCAAACGAGATCCAGGCAGAAGAAGAACATCATGGCTTCAAAATCTTAGGGACTGGTTTGGACAAAACTCAGCAGCACTTTTTCATGCAGTTGCTGATAAAAACATGATCGCCAACATGATCGCCAACGTCCAATAACGGATATGGCACAAGAAGAAGAAGAATGGCTTGCATATAGAACTTGGAAAATCTGGGAAAAAATTAATCTCTACTTGTGACCTTCAAAGCTTTAACAACAGAGAACAGCTGTGACAAAAAAAGAAAATAATCTGGGCTGTAGATAAAGTTACAACTTTAGGGAACAAAAAAAGTTCTTTTTTGAACTCTCTGGATTACAAGTATATAGTCAACTTAGATATCAAAGCTATTTCCAGAGGGAAAAAAAATCTGGATTCTTGGTCATCATGGAAAATCAGAGATTTATAGAAAGAACCTATCAAGAAAAAATAAATACTTTTCAAGAGGAGACATATGATACGTTGCAACTAATTCAAATAACAATGACTTCGAACCACAAAGAAATCCAAAATAACTTTGAAAATATAAACCAACTCATCTTCAATTCAATTTTATATCCAAAAAAATCCCAGGAAAATATAACAGAGAAGGAACAGATAAAACAGACAACTGAGCATAAATTTGAGGATAGAGATTTAAAGATGGAACTCTACAAAACAAAGAAGTATGATTTAATCCAAGTGGGGAAAAAAATTACAAGAAATACTGGACTTGGAAAAGACAACCTATATTTCAACACTACAAAATAAACTTGAGGATAAGAAAAAAAGACTGGATAAAACAGACTGCAGGGATGCCAGGGAAAACACTAGAACTGGAGAGATAAAAAATAACAAGAGAAGCAGAGAGAAAAAGAGAAAAGATTCTCAATAAAAAATGAGTGGGCAAATGCCTCTAATAAAGATACTGTACTTAACTTGCTTTTTACATCTACAGTAACGTCTATAAGAATAAGGGTGTCCATCCCAAAATCTTCAGAGAAAAGCAAAGTAAGTCCGGTTGCCTCCTGGAAAAGCACTTGTGGGACAACCAGAACCTGGATGACTGAGAATCCCCCTGGACGTTCAGGGTCACCCACCTTCCAAACGGACCTAAAAGTTGGACTTGGAAAAAGCATCCACGAGGCCATAGAAAAGACGTCAGGGGGAGAAGGAATTAGGATGAGACCCAATCGCTAATAAATAAAATATAATCACAAAACTCTTCAGCGTCCTAAATGTAAACTAATAACAAGAATAATTCTGCACTCATCAACAACAGAAATATTCCACCTTCCGAGAGTCCAAGATACTGGAAGAGAGAGCCTCCCCATCCTCCTACAGTTTATCTGACCGTCCTCACTGCCTCCCCTGCTACTGGTTTGAGGGTGGACTGGAGAGACAGCTCCAACTGCCCGGATCATGTTTGCCATCTTTTCGGCATCCGTTGCTTCCATTCTCCGCTGGGCAAGTTTGAAACAAGGCCTCCAGGAGCCCTCTGGGGCCTCCCTCCTCCGTAGGATGTCTGGTGCTGCAGAGCAAGAAAATGGTGGACGTCAGCACCCTGGTCTGTATGGAGAGGCCTTTTGCCTCCTCTCCTTGACTCCCTCTTCCCCCCACAGCAACCCACAGGAAGCACGGGGGGGGGGAGAAGCCAAACGGGAGAAAGGCTTGCAATTCTCATCCACAGAGACCGCCCCTCTCTGGAGAAGGTAATTCTCGGGGGGGGGGAGTGTTCCTCACTTCTCCCCTTAGAGTTCCTTTCCCGTTATTCTTCCAGTTCATCCTCATCAAGCATTTTTTTTCCCCTGGATGTCCCCTCCTGTGTTTCTCCAGCCCCCAATCTCTTTCCCTCCCTCCCCGCCCGTCCTCCTTGGAGAGACATCCCCCGTTTTCCCAGGGTTCCCAATAGTTTCTTCCATTTTTCACATTCCGCCCTCAGAGCTGGTGGGTTGGAGAGGCTGAGCTGGCCTGGATGTTTCCTGGAGAGCAGCTGATCAGAGGGTTCCAGGCAGGAAGGGCTGAGCCCCATAGGAACCCCGGGTAGCCCATCGTCTCTCCAGGGCTACCTTGGAAAGACCTTTCCTCACCCAAGCAAGGCAGATAGTCTTGTCTCCCAGATATTTTCCAAGCCTGGGATTTAGTCTCTTAAATGGACATCAGGTGACCGAGGCTGGAGCATCAGCTGTGATTGAATCTCATCTTCTGTGCCATAAATCGGGGGAGAAGGAGCCATTTCTGGAGAAACATGATCAGGGGAAGTTGTCGCTGTTGGATGGAAAAGTTTCCAGCCTGAGAGAAGGCAAAAAGGAGAGAGAGCTAGTTTATTTCCTGCCTGGGATAGAGAAGGACTCAGGCTGAAGACCTCCAGGAAGCTCAGATGGTAATAACTATACCAGTGGTTCTCAACCTTTTTAATGCCGCGACCCCCAAACGGTCATAAGTCGAGGACTACTCAACCGGTCGTAAGTCAAGGACTACTCAACTGGTGCAGCACTGTTTGCAGAAGGGGACTTTTGGCGGGCTCAGCAGGGCAGAGACAGCCTGGACAATTCCTATTGGCTTTTGAAAGCCAATAGAATTTGACTCTATTCAAGAGAGTCTATTCTATTGGCTTTCAAAAGCCAATAGAATAAAAGGGAGTAGCACAGCTAAGGAAAAGGGGGAAAAAATGGCGGACTGCATTGTTTGGAGACCCCCATGAAATGGTCGTTCGACCCCAAATGGGGTCCCGACCCACAGGTTGAGAACCACTGAACTACACAGACACAAGAAGCAAGAGAGAGATAGAGAGAGGGAGGGAGAGGGAAAGAGAGAGGGAAAGAGAGTAAGAGTGAGTGAGAGTGAGAGAGAGAGGGAGAGGGAGGGAGGGAGAGAGAGAGGGAGGGAAGGAGAGGGAGAGAGGGAAAAAGAGGGAAAGAGTGAGAGTGAGAGAGTGAGAGAGAGAGAGAGAGAGAGAGAGAGAGAGAGAGAGAGAGAGAGAGAATGTTTCTCAAGAGGCTGAGTTAAAATCCAGCCAGTTATACCACCTGGGCTTCCCTACACACACACACACACACACACATCAATCCAGATATCCCTTCCTCTGTCCCCTTCCCAATTTCCCACATCCAGCCTCCTCCTCATCTCTCTTGTTCCGAGTGGCAACGGACCAAACAGGGGCTTCTTCCACCCCCTGGACCTTTGACCCCAGGTGTGATTCCAAGCAGGGACAGAGGACATGGCTCCCTCCCTCCACGGGCCCCACCTTCTCTCAAGAGCTTCCCTGAAGGTCCCTCTTGCCAAATGAAGTGATCCACACGGAGCTTCTTCAGGGCCGGGATGATGGATTTTCTAGTGCTTCCCAGATCATTTAAGCCAGGGACTTTTCTTGGACACCTGAGCCCTGAGTCTTGCCACTGTGCCCACTGAGGCGAAAGAAACTTCTTCCCAGACAAAAGGAAGGCGGAACATTTTGGGATTGGCAGGACATGGAAAGATGGCTGCATGTCTTCTTCCTTCCTTCCTGATCCATGTTCAAAATGCTGTTTGTGGGGGGCGGGGGCTCGTGTGGGTCACGGCTCAAACTCTCCAGGAGGCACTTGTGCTTAGGATGGGAGGGGGGGCCTCAGTGGATGTGTTTCACTTACCTCTCAAGAGGAGAATCCCAAGTCCCAAGATCAGGGCGGCCCCAATTCCCACTAGAATCTTCCACTGTCTTCTGGCTAAAGAAGGAGAAACGTGGTTTTGATTAGACCAGTGGTTCTCAACCTTTTTAATGCCGTGACCCCCCAACCGGTCATAAGTTGAGGACTACTCAACCGGTCGTAAGTCAAGGACTACTCAACTGGTGCAGCACCGTTTGCAGAATGAGACTTTTGGCGGGCTCAGCAGGGCAGAGACAGCCTGGGCAATTCCTATTGGCTTTTGAAAGCCAATAGAATTAGACTCTACTCAAGAGAGTCTATTCTATTGGCTTTCAAAAGCCAATAGAATAAAAGGGAGTAGCACAGCTAAGGAAAAGGGGGAAAAAATGGCGGACTGTGTTGTTTGGCAACCCCCGTGAAATGGTCGTTCGACCCCAAATGGGGTCCCGACCCACAGGTTGAGAACCACTGGATTAGACAGAGGCGGAGTTCCCGGAAGATGCTGAACAATGGAAGCCTTTCCCAACCTTCACTGGCTTCCAGGAAGTCCCCCCAGCTGAAGGAAGCCCCTCCCCTCCAAGGCTGCAGAGGGAGGAGCCAATGGCCTCGAAGGACACAACCAATTATGCATCATGTCACACCATCTCCTATATTATGTCTCATTTCTTCATACTTTTGCTGTAAAGTCACTACTTCTAACTCCCCTGATAGGAATCACTTCTCTTGTATCACTTAATGTAGGACTATATTCCCTGCTCTCCACCTGAAAACATGGTGCAGAAGAAAATTACTGCCCTTCCACATACTATTTCAAACATTGGTGAAAAATCTACTTCTCCATGTCACAATCCCATGAGCCTCTCACCTATTTCCTCCTCCAAAGCCAAGACCAGGGGCTCCTGAAAGCCCTGGTGCTCCAGGCGACACCGAAAACGGTCCCTCTCCTTCGGGTTGATCTCAATGCTGAGCCAGACATAATAGGTCCCATCCGAGTTGGGGGCCACGTTCCTAGGGAGGGTCTCGTACTGGCAGACCTCCCCGTCCCTGGTCCAGGTGGCCTGGATCTGCTTGGGGTAGAAGCCAAAGGCCTGGCAGATGAGGACCTCCAGGCGGTCATCCACCTTCTTGCGGGTCACCTTCCCCACTGGGGGCTCTGCAGAAACAGCAACAACACAATTCCCAGGATTTTGAGAGTTTCTGGTAAGGTGATTTACATAGCAAGACCTCCTTGGGCCATCCTCTCCCTCCGCTCCCTCTCCTTGCCTCAACCTGTGGGAGCCCCTAAAGTGGGGCATTGGGGTTCTTTAGATTAAGCTTTGAAAGGGATGCTTTGAATTTGGGGTAATGTTCTCACATTGGCCAAAGTATTCCCCAATTTGTTGGATTGATTCAATTTTAAGCCCCCAAATCGAATTTGTTCAAGTTGTTCAGATGGAAATCAGGAACAGGCTGATCATTTCCTCCCTTCAGCATGAATTTCTAGCTCAGGTTTTTTTAAGTACTTATTTTGGAGGGCACTGAAGATTATTTTTCTTCTGTAACGTGATATCGGATACTTCCTGACCTTTTCCCGTCAATATTTTAAAAGGTGCCTTGGCTGTTTAGGGGAGAAACAATACGGGGAAACGGAAACATGCTGAACAGAGACCCCCTTTGCCACTCACCGATCCTCTGCAGAGACTCAGTCCTGTAGGACAGGTATCTCTGCAGCCACTCAATGCAGGGCTCCTCCAGGAAGTCTTTATTGCTCTGGGACCATCCTGGGTCATCCTCCCACTTTTCCTTGAGCTTCTGGGCCTTGGGCTGAGCTGGCACCCAAGTGAGGGTCTCCTTGTCGAAGCTGATGAAGTCCATCCCGTCGTAGCCATAGCGGAAAAACCCTCCTTGGCTCCTGTCTTCCATGATTTCACAGCCCAAAACCACCTGCCAGGTGTGAAGCCCTGAAGGAGAGGCAGAGGGGGTGGGTGTGAATGAAAAGGGTCAAGGATTCCTCTCCCTAGACAGCCCGAGAGTCTTCCCCCCTTCCCACCTGGGGAGAGAAATCAGATTTCTCCTTCCCCTCTTTATCACACAAGGAGAAACATCTTTTACTTCAATTAACCCTGTTTGGCTGTTTGTCAGGCCATGAAGAATTTCTAGGTGAGGAAGAAAAACAGGTGTGTGTGTATTTCTGTGTGTGTGTTTTTGCAGGAAAGAAAATCTCAAGTCCCCTGCAACCATTGGAGGCCAAAGGTGGCCCTGCCCCTGCTCACCTCCAGCAGGGTGGTCCAGTTTTGTTAACTTCTCCAGGTCAGCCCTGAAGACCCACTCAGGGGACAGAAAGTTCTCCTTGTCCCCCTCCTCCATCCAGGGCACCAGAGGCTCCATCTTCCTGGTGAGGCTGTCAAAGCGAGCAGTGGATTGGTCATCCAAGTAGCTCCTAATGAAGAACTGGGACCGCCCCTGGTTGGGCTCTGGCAGATGCAGGTAGAAGTATCTCAGGGAGTGTGAGGGAGAGCCTGGAGAGGGAGGAGGGAGAGAAGAAGAATTGGGGGGGGGGTCTTCACTGCAACTTCATCCCCTCCAACATCTTATTGTCACACAGCCCCTCCCAACAAGGGGGTCACCCCATCTGGCTAAGATACTCCTGCACCTCCTCTGGGCCCTCCAGGTTCCCAGGCTGCTGTTTGTAGGCCCGACCTGCATGGCGACCCCAGACCATCCTTGGGAAGAGCCAGGGCGGCCCTGTTTGCATGGAAGTTGACAAGCAAGTCGAAGACCTTGAAAGCTCCCCATAGATCAGTGTTTCCCAAACTTGACAATTTTAAGGCATGAGGACTTCAACTCCCAGAATTCCACAGCCAGCAACGCTGGCTGTGGAATTCTGGGAGTTGAAGTCCACATGCCTTAAAATTGTCAAGTTCGGGAAACACTGCCATAGATAGGAGAAACCTTTCCAAGCAAGGACAAAGGCTGGAGCAGGAAGTGTGGAAGTTAAGCACGAAGCTAAAAAATAAGGCCGCGCGGAGGGCTGAACTCTTGAAACGACTTTCACTTTCACTCTCTGTTCCCTACAACGGGAGCTGATTACAGATCCGTCACTGAAGATTTGAAACGAGGCTGGCTGAGGCGCGAGAGAAGGAAGGTTTTTTTTTTTTCCTTCTGGGAAAAAGAGTTTGGGATTGGGGGGGGGGGGGATGAGGGAGAGAAAGACCCGGCCCAGGACAGGCGCCCCCTCCCCGTCGCACACTCACCGCACAAAGCCCCGAGCACGAGGGACCCCAACGCAACTCCCAGGAGCAAGAGGGGCGCCCGGGGCAGCGGCATCGGCCTCCAAGCAGGCGCCCCCCCCCCGTCCGCTCGGGAAAAAGTCGCCAAGGCGTCGTACACGGTCCGGATCCCGTCCTCACGCCGGAAGCTGAAGCCAGAAGCCTGGAGCCTGAAGTGAAAACAGAAACTCCCTTTTGTCCCCGCCCCTTTCCTCCCTCCCTCCCCTCCCTTCTCTTCCTCGCTCCCTTCCCTCCCCTTTCCTCCCTCCCTTTTCCTCCCTTTCTCCTTTCCTCCCCTCCCTGCCCCCCTTTCCTCCCTCCCTCCTTCCCTTCCGTCCCCTTCCCCCTTTCCTCCCTCCCTCCCTCCTCTTCCCCTTTCCTCCCTTCCTCCTTCCCTCCCCTCCCCTTCCCTTTCCTCCCTCCCTCCTTCCCTTCACTCCCCTTCCCCCTTTCCTCCCTCCCTCCCTCCCGTCCCCACCCCTTCCTCCCCTTCCCTTCCCTCCCCTTTCCTCCCTTCCTCCTTCCCTTCCCTCCCCTTCCCCCCTTTCCTCCCTCCCTCCCTCCTCTCCTGCTCCCCTTTCTCCCTTCCTCCTTCCCCTCCCCTCCCCCTTCCCTTCCTCCCTCGCCTCCTTCCCTTCACTTCCCTTCCCCCTTTCCTCCCTCCCTCCCTCCCGTCCCCACCCCTTCCCCCTTCCCTTCCCTCCCCTTTCCTCCTTTCCTCCGTCCCTTCCCTCCCCTTCCCCCCTTTCCTCCCTCCCTCCCTCCCGTCCCCACCCCTTCCTCCTTCCCTTCCCTCCCCTTTCCTCCCTTCTTCCTTCCCTTCCCTCCCCACTCCTTCCCTTCCCTCCCCTTCCCCCTTTCCTCCCTCCCTCCCTCCTTCTCTTCCCCTTTCCTCCCTTCCTCCTTCCCTCCCCTCCCCTTCCCTTTCCTCCCTTCCTCCTTCCCTTCCCTCCCCTTCCCCCCTTTCCTCCCTTCTTCCTTCCCTTCCCTCCCCTTCCCTCCCCTTCCCCCTTTCCTCCCTCCCCCCTCCTTCTCTTCCCCTTTCCTCCCTTCCTTCTTCCCTCCCCTCCCCTTCCCTTTCCCCCCTTCCTCCTTCCCTTCACTCCCTTTCCCCCCTTTCCTCCCTCCCTCCCTCCCGTCCCCACCCCTTCCTCCCCTCCCCTTCCCTCCCCTTTCCTCCCTTCTTCCTTCCCTTCCCTCCCCACCCCTTCCTCCTTCCCTTCCCTCCCCTTCCCCCCTTTCCTCCCTCCCTCCCTCCCGTCCCCACCCCTTCCTCCTTCCCTTCCCTCCCCTTTCCTCCCTTCTTCCTTCCCTTCCCTCCCCACTCCTTCCTCCTTCCCTTCCCTCCCCTTCCCCCTTTCCTCCCTCCCCCCCTCCTTCTCTTCCCCTTTCCTCCCTTCCTTCTTCCCTCCCCTCCCCTTCCCTTTCCTCCCCATTCCTCCTTCTTCCTCCCTCCCGCTTCCCCCCTTTCCTCCCTTCTTCCTCCCTTAGCCATCCCCACCCCTTTCCTCCTTCCCTTCCCTCCCCTTCACCCTTCCTCCCTCCCCCCCCTCCTTCTCTCCCCTTCCTCCCTTCTTCTTCCCTCCTCCTCCCCTTTTCCCTTCCCCCTTCCTCCTTCCCTTCCACTCCCTTTCCCCCCTTTCCTCCCTCCCGCCCTCCTGTCCCACCCCTTCCTCCCCTTCCCTTCCCTCCCCTTTCCTCCCTTCCTCCTTCCCTTCCCTCTCCTTCCCCCCTTTCCTCCCTCCCTCCCTTCTTCTCTTCCCTTCCCCTTTCCTCCCTTCCTCCTTCCCTTCCCTCCCCACTCCTTCCTCCTTCCCCTCCCCTTTCCTCCCTCCCTCCCTCCTTCTCTTCCCCTTTCCTCCCTTCCTCCTTCCCTTCCCTCCCCACTCCTTCCTCCTTCCCCTCCCCTTTCCTCCCTCCCTCCTTCCCTTCCCTTCCCCTTTCCTCCTTCCCTCCCCTCTCCTTCCCCTTCCCTTTCCTCCCTTCCTACTTCCCACCCCTCCCCTTCCCATCCCTCCCCTCCCTTTCCCCCTTCCCCATCCCCTTCCCCTCTTAGAGTCTTCTGTTCTTTCCTTTTCCTGTTTGGGACATTTATAAAGAGCCCGATGTTGGGAAAGATGGAAGGGCAAAGGAGAAGGGGAGGGATGAGATGGTTAGTTTCATTGATGCCATTCAAGTCATTGCACAACATGAATTTGGGAGAGAATGGAGGACGGGGGGAGGGAGCTGGCATGCTGTGGTCAGGTTTTATGGACTGAACAACATCCCAGCAGGGGAGGGAAAATGGATCTTAACCGCCCTCTTTCTTTCAATTGGCCTTTTTTGTGATCAGGGGCGATGGGATGGAGTATGGAGTATGGAATATGGAGTATAGAACAATTATTGGCCAAGTGTGAGTGGACACACAAGGAATTTGTCTTTGGGGCTAAAGCTCTCAGTGAACATCCAAACAAGAAAGTAGGATACCAATAGGAGAAGGTAATAGGAAAGATCTCATGAAGATCTTTCATGGAGGGGGGAAGGGTGTTTTCTTTTCTCTACACTTAAATAGGAGCCAACCGTGTGCTGCAGCTGCCAAAAAGGCCAACACAGTGCTAGGCTGCATTAACAGAGGGGTAGAATCAAGATCACATGAAGTGTTAATACCACTTTACAATGCCTTGGTAAGGCCACACTTGGAATACTGCATCCAGTTTTCATCACCACGATGTAAAGAAGATGTTGAGACTCTAGAAAGAGTACAGAGAAGAGCAAGAAAGATGATTAGGGGACTGGAAGCTAAAACATATAAGGAACGGTTGCTGGAATTGGGTATGTCTAATTTAATGAAGAGAAGAACAAGGGGGGACATGATAGCAATGTTCCAGTATCTCAGGGGCTGCCCCAAAGGAGAGGGAGTCAAGCTATTTTCCAAAGCACCTGAAGGCAGGACAAGAAGCAACGGATGGAAACTAACTAAAGAGAGAAGAACCTAGAACTAAGAAGAAATTTCCTGACAGTTAGAACAATTAACCAGTGGAACAACCTGCCTCCAGAAGCGGTGAATGCTCCAACACTGGAAGTTTTTAAGAAGAGACTGGACAGCCATTTGTCCAAAATGGTGTAGGGTTTCCTGCCTGAGCAGGGGGTTGGACTAGATGACCTCCAAGGTCCCTTCCAACTTTACTACTACTACTACTACTAATTATTATCCTCATCAAGGAACTTTTTTTCTGGAACCCCCCCCATTTTTCTCTAGCCCCCAATCTCGTGGGCGAATGCCGAGCCTCCACTTCTACCCCAGATCTTCCAAACTATGTGACGGGCAAGTAGAGACATGGTGGACCAGCCATGCTCTTCCCCCAGGGAATGCATCCAGGTGGAAGTGGGCAACGGGGGGGGGGGGAGCTGGGACAGAAGAGATGGGACTACTCAGTCCATCTCTCCTTCCTCAGGTGCTCAATCACGTTCTGACAACCATTTGCTTGAAACTATATAGGGTTTCCTGCTTGAGCAGGGGGTTGGGCTAGACCTCCAAGGTCTTTTCCAACTCTGTGATCCTATTCTGTTCTGTCCTTTGGCAGAAGCCAGGCTGGCAAAAAGGCCTGCACAGTCAGGTGCTGAGAAAGGTCGCTGTGTCCCCTCCAGGATCACCAAGGTGTCCTCCTTGACCTGAGGGCCAGAACCACCAAGGCAACATCAAAGTGGGCAGAGGTTGGTGACGCTTTGAAGCTGCCTTCGACTCCGGTGGTTTGCAGGCCCGGGTGCCAATTCCTCAGGTGCTGCCAGGACCCGGACAGTCTGGGCAACCCAGAGTGAACTCCCCCTCAGCCCAGGAATCACATTTCCCACCTCAGCCTAACACACAGGATTTTTGTGGGGAAAAATAAGAATAAATGCTTTCTACAACCGGAGACATTGCAGAGTGCTTGGGGGGGAAGGGGGCGCAGACCCCTAAGAAAAGGCTGCTGCTTTCTTTGATGCCCCCCTCAGAGCATGGAGCCTTGGGGAAAGTCAGGGGGCTGGGCCGGAAAGGGCTTTGGAAGGGAATCCCCCCTTCCCTGGCTCAGAACCAGGACTGGAGGACTCCTCCGCGGCCTTCATCCCCGGGGCTAGCTGGCCCCTGCCTGAGAGGTCCTCTCTTTCCACACTTGCTGGTTTGCAGAGCTGCCATTTCCCCTGGCTGTTTCCAGGAAAAGGTGGGGAGAGAATAAGTCAGTGGTGGTGAACCTATGGCACGTGTGCCAGAGGCGGCACTCAGACCCTCTCTGTGGGCACGCGTGCCGCTACCCCAGCCCCACCTCTCCCCGCAGCCACCTCCTCACCAGCAGCCCCCCTGGAGGAGAGTTGCCCCCAGGCTCAGCATGCGCGGAGTAGCACAGTCAAGAACATGGCAGTTAGGCAGCAGGGACAAGACTCCACCCTCATGCCCCTTCACCTGCAGATGCTGCTGAAGGGCACGGGTAGAGTGCGTGGCTGCCATGCGCTGCAGGGCTGCCTGAGGGATCTGCTGTAGTGGAGGTGGTGGGTGGCCCTGCGGGCCGGCGGGGTATGAGTGGAGCGGAGGGTGGCAGGGCATTTTTGGGGCGCTTGGCCTCTAAAAGGTTTGCCATCACTGGAATAGGTCTTTCTAGGCACCTGGGAGTCTCATCCTGGGGCATTCTGGGAGTTGACGTCCACACGACTGAATGTTGCCAAGGTTGAGAAGCAGGGCTCTAGGCCAGAGGTCCCCAACCGTTTGGGCACCAGGGACCGGTTCCGTGGAGAGAGGTTTTCCTGTGGATTGGAGGGGTCGTGGTTTCATGTGCTGCCTGCATCTTGCGGATGGGGCTTTGCTTGTTTGTTGCTGGCATCACGCTGCCCGGTACTGGTCCACAGACTGGAGCTTGGGGACCCCTGCTCTAGGCAGTCTCCCAGGGCAGCCCCAGGCACAATCAGCAGATTAAGCTTTGAGTGGATTTTCAAGCCCAAATCCTGTTTTCAAATTCCTTTTTTTCCAAGTCTCACGCTTGAATGATAAGCAACAATCCAGCGTGACATAAATAAATACATAATATTCAAAGGAAAGAAAAAAGAAACGGAATGTGCTTTAAAAAAAAAAGGCAAAATACAACAATGAAGACTATAATATCATTTTAGAAGTAAATATTTACAACTCTATACATAGTATCTGGTGGAATTATTACTCAAGTACATATACTGTATATTTCTAACA